TAGAGCTATGAACTTTCCTCTTAGGACTGCTTTCACTGTGTCCCATAGATTTTGGATTGTTGTATTTTCATTGTCATTTGTTGCCATGATGCTTTTTATTTCTTCTTTGATCTCTTTAACCCAATCATTGTTTAATAGCATGCTATTTAGCCTCCAAGTGCTTGATTTTTTTTCATTGTTTTTCTTGCAGTTGATTTCTAGTTTTATGCCATTGTGATCTGAGAAGATGCTTGATATGATTTCTCTCTTCTTGAATTTGAAGAGATTTTGCCTGTGTCCCAATATGAGGTCTATCTTTGAAAATGACCCCTGTGCACTTGAGAAGAATATATATTCTGTGTCTTTGGGGTGAAATGTTCTAAAGATATCAATTAATTCCATCTGATATAGTGAGTCATTTAGGATTGATGTTTCTTTGCTGATTTTTTGTTTAGAGGATTTGTCCAGTGGTGTTAGTGGGGTATTACAGTTCCCTACCATGATTGTATTGCTGTCAATTTCTCCCTTGATATCCTACAGAAGTTTTTTTTATGTATTTGGGTACTCCTGTATTGGGTGCATATATGTTTACCAGAGTTATATCTTCTTGTTGAATTGCCCCTTTTAGTTTTATGAAGTGGCCTTCCTTATCTCTTGTTATGGCCTTCACTTTGAGGTCTAATTTGTTAGATATAAGTATTGCTACCCCAGCTTTTTTTTTCATTTCCATTTACCTGAAAAACCTTTTTCTATCCCTTCACCATCAGTCTGTGTGAATTCTTTGTTCTGAGGTGGGTCTCCTGTAGATAGCAGATATATGGGTCATGTTTTCTTATCCACTCAGCTACCTTATGTCTTTCTATTGAGGCATTTAATCCCTTTACATGTAAAGTTATTATTGATAGGTACTTGTTTGTCACCATTTTTATTCTTTATGCCTTTGTTTTTTTTTCCCTTCCTATTTCTTTTTATTTTTATTATTATTTTTTTAAGTAAATCTTTTATTGTTCAGATTATTACAGTTGTTCCTCTTTTTCCCCCCATAGCTACCCGGTAACCCCCACCCCCCACGCCCTGCCCTTACCCCCCCCCACTGTCCTCGTCCATAGGTGTATGATTTTTGTCCAGTCTCTTCCCGCACCCCCCTCACCCCATTCCCCCCGAGAATTGTCAGTCCACTCCCTTTCTATGCCCCTGATTCTATTTTCTTCACCAGTTTATTCTCTTCGTCAGATTTTTTATTCACTTGATTTTTAGATTCACTTGTTGATAGATATATATTTGTTGTCACTTCATTGTTCATAATTTTTATCTTTACCTTTTTCGTCTTCTTCCTCTTCTTAAAGAATACCCTTCAGCATTGCATATAATACTGGTTTGGCAGTGATGAACTCCTTTAGCTTTTTCTTATCTGTGAAGCTCTTTATCTGACCTTCAATTCTAAATGATAGCTTTGCTGGGTAGAGTAATCTTGGTTGTAGGTTCTTGCTATTCATCACTTTGAATATTTCTTGCCACTCCCTTCTGGCCTGCATAGTTTCTGTTGAGAAATCAGCTGATAGTCGTATGGGTACTCCCTTGTAGGTAACTAACTGTTTTTCTCTTGCTGTTTTTAAGATTCTGTCTTTGTCTTTTGCCCTTGGCATTTTAATTATGATGTGTCTTGGTGTGGTCCTCTTTGGATTCCTTTTGTTTGGGGTTCTCTGCGCTTCCTGGACTTGTAAGTCCATTTCTTTCACCAGGTAGGGGAAGTTTTCTGTCATTATTTCTTCAAATAGGTTTTCAGTATCTTGCTCTTTCTCTTCTTCTGGCACCCCTATAATTCGGATGTTGGTACGCTTGAAGCTGTCCCAGAGGCTCCTTACACTATCTTCATATTTTTGGATTCTTTTTTCCTTTTGCTTTTCCAGTTGGGTGTTTTTTGCTTCTTCGTATTTCAAATCTTTGACTTGATTCTTGGGATCCTCTAGTCCGCTGTTGGATCTCTGTATATTATTTTTTATTTCAGTCAGTGTATGCTTAATTTCTAATTGGTCCTTTTTCATATCCTTGAGGGTCTCACTATATTTCTCAGAGGTTTCTAGAAGATTCTTGAGTAACCATATAACTGTGGTTTTGAACTCTATATCCAGTAGTTTGCTTTCCTCCATTTCTGTCATTTGTGACCTGTTTCTTTGTCTCCGCATTTTGGCTGCTTCCCTGTGTTGATAGAGTGGCTTTGTTTGGTAGGTGTCCTATAGGGCCCAGTGGCTCAGCCTCCCCAATTACCTGAGGTGGACACTCTTGGTGCACCTCTTTGTGGGCTGTGTGCACAGTCTTGTTGTAGTTAAGCCTTGATTGCTGTTGGTATCACTGGGAGGAATTGACCTCCAGGCCAATTGGCTGTGAAGACCAGTTGTGTCTTCAATGGGAGAACTTCTGTGCTGGAGACACCCTTATGGGGCAGGACTTGCTTCAGTGGGGCTTTGGCGCTCACTGAGCCTGTCCAAGTTTTTAGGCAGAAAAAGGCCAGGCCATTCATATGCAAAAGCCTCTGCACACAGCTTGGGTGGGGTTGTAAATTGGGTGGGGTGGGGTCTCAGGGAATCACGAGGGCGGAGCAAACTGCAATGACTGCCAGTCTGCTCTGCCTCTGAGAGGTCCCGGAGTTTGTGTCCTGCAGCCCCGTGCAGGAACAATGACTGCTGCAAGCATCTCTGCGAGAAAGCCGCCCTCACGTTCTGGCCCGATGCCAGACAGTCCAGTTTCTCTCTGTATGAGTCTAGGTCCCCAAATTCTCACCTGGAACTGGAGTTCAGAGCAGTTGGAAGCTTGTATCTCCCACCCGATTGAAAAAGACAACAGCATACCCAGCTGGCAGCCCCTTTCGCGCGCGCCTTTGTACCTCCGCACTTCCACCCTCTGCACCTCCTACCGGACTCAATGCGCTTTTCTCTTTCCTTCTAGTGGTAGAATTTCTACTCAGCCAGCCTTCCCGTTGTTCTGGATGATATTTTTTTTTGTCTTTTAGTTGTACTTTTAATGTGGTTGTGCACGGCAGCAAGTTCAGGTGTTTACCTATGCCACCATCTTGGTTGTCCCCTATTTCTTCTTTTTACAGCAGACACTTTAGCATTTCTTGCATTGCTGGTTTAGTGGTAATAAACTCCCTTAGTCCTTTTTTGTCTGTGAAGTTCCTGATTTCACCCTCAATTTTGATTGATAGCCTTGCTGGGTACAGTATTCTTGAATTCAGACCCTTCCTTTGCATGACTTTGTATATTTCATTTCATTTCCTCCTGGCCTGATGTGTTTCTGATGAGAAATCAGTCATTACTCTGATTGGGGGATCCTTTGTAGGTAACTTTCTGTCTCCCTCTGGCAGCTTTTAAGATTCTTACTTTGTCGTTGGTGTTTGCCAATTTAATTATAATGTGTGTTGGTGTTGGTCTTTTGGGGTTCATCTTGTTTGGGACTCTGTGAGCTTCTTGGACTTGTGTGAGTTTTTTCTTCCCTATATCAGGGAAGTTTTCTGTCATTTTTTCAAACAGGCTTTTTATTCCTTGTTCAGTTTCCTCTCCTCTGAGACCCCTATTATGTGGATGTTGTTTCCTTTCATGTTGTCCCAAAGTTCCCTTAGGCTCTCCTCCTGTTTTTTAAGTTTTTTTTCTAGATGCTGCTCTACTTGGGTATTTTTTCCTACCTTGTCTTCTAGCTCACTGATGCGCTTCTCTGCTTCTTCTAGTCTACTGTTGATGCTTTTTTTCTATTGTATTCTTTATTACAGCAATGTCATTTTTCATTTCTTCTTGTTTCTTCTTCATTTCCTCTTGGTTCTTACACATATTGTTGAATTTGTATTCCATTCTTTTTTTAAAAATATATTTTATTGATTTTTTTACAGAGAGGAAGGGAAAGTGATAGAGAGTTAGAAACATCGATCAGGTGCCTGCTGCATGCCCCTCCATTGGGGATGTGCCCGCAACCAAGGTACATGCCCTTGACTGGAATTGAACTTGGGTCTCATCAGTCCACAGGCTGACGCTCTATCCACGGAGCCAAACCAGTTAGGGCTGTCTTCCATTCTTTTCAGTGACCTTGACCATTGTGCTGAAATTTTTCTCTGACATATTGCTTGCCTCCATTTCATTTATGTCCTTTTCTGGTGATTCCTCCTTTTCTTTCGTATGTGGGCTGTTTCTTTTTCTCCCCATGATCTCTCCTCTCAGGGTGTCTGGTTATGTAGCTCTCTCCCTCCTGTGTTGACTTAAAGGCACAAAATACAACACAACAAGACACAATGCACAGGGCACCAAACACAAATGTATTCACGATACTAATAACTCCAAATAAAGGTGACCACCAGAGAAAAGAGAATTAGGCGATAGAAAAGAATGCAAAAATGATATTGAGAAAAAGAAAAAATGTAAGAGAGAAAAGAAAGAGAAGAAAAAAGAAAAAGGAAAAAAATATATATATGGGGAGAATACTCCAATAAAACAACAACTAATCCAAAATAGGCAGACAACCAACACCCAAAGATGAATGCAAACTACAAACAACAACTAGTCCAAAATATGTAAACTACCAACACCCAAACGACAAACACCCAGATGAATCTGAGGAAGCAGAGCTTTCTCTAGGCCAGTGGTTCTCAATCTTGGCTACACATTGGAATTACCTGGGAATCTTTTTAAAATCCTGATTTCTGGGCCCCATCCTCTGGAAATTCTGTTTCTTTGTTATGGGGTGGGGCCACAACATTAGTAACAAAGAAACAGAATTTCCGGAGGATGAGGCCCAGAAATCAGGATTTTAAAAAGATTCCCAGGTGATTCTAATGTGCAGCCAAGGTTGAGAACCACTGCTCTGGGCGATATCTGACCTTTCCATCCACGGATTGCCTCACCAGCTGTGTTTAATTTGCCAATTCTGGGTGGGTGTTATTTGATTCAGCTGTTCCTTCTATCTGCTCTGTGAGAAGACGCAGGGTTTGTCCATGTATTCATGCCCCTTTTTCTCCCCCTGGACAGACCCTTTAGGTGCCCACGGTCGAGAAGGCTGTAGTCCTGGTGTTCTTGGGTTCGCAGCTGAGGCAGCTGGTCTCTGGGCATGTGATTGTAGGGTCCTGGGAAGTATCTGAGGTCTCCTCGGTTGAAGGTAAGGCTAGGCTTCCCCTTCAAGATGGCACAGTCTCTGCGGCAGAGCCGGCGGCTCCAGGAGAGATTTCAGTAGCAGTAGAGGCTGCCCGGCCAGCGGAGCCTGTCAGCCAGTCCTCAGCAGGCCTTCACGCTCTCCATGATAAGCCTTCTGGCATTTACTGCACACCTCCAGAGAAATCAACCTTCCATTGTGTTCTTTATTGAAGCTATGTCATTCCTCATTTCCTCTTGATTCGTTATCATGTTGGTCAAATTCTCATTCAGCTCCTTATAATTCTCATTGATTTGTATGCATTTGTCATCCAGACATTTGAGCATCCTTATAACTATTACTCTGAATTCTTTCTCTGACAAATTATTTGCCTTCATTTCATTTAATTCCTTTTCTGGTGATCCTATTTTTCTTTCCTTTGGGGATTTTTTCTTTGTCTCCCCACTTTTCTGTAATGTTTTAATTATTTCTATGTCTTAGATCCAACTGCTTTGTTACCCAGGTTCTTTTGGGGGTTGGCCTATGTAGTTGGTGATTTTTGGGACCCAGTGGTATAGTCTCTCAGATTTTCTGAGCTTGGTGTTCTAGTGGAGCCCACTACTTGAGTTATTTGGGTTCTCCTGATGTAGTTGGGTCTTGAATGTTAGTTTCTCATTTGTGGTTGAAGTCTGATCATAGGCTGTCTGAAATGTGACTCACCCCCGGCCTTGTTGTGCAAGCTGTTGTAGATATGCTTGTGGTTCCAGCTCTTGTGGAAAGGGTTGCCTGAGGTCTCACTGGAGTGCGCTCACTGTGAGATCCTGGAGTTCATAGCCTGGGAGAAAGTGGTCTCAGGGCCTGAGGCTCAGGTAGTGCGACTCTGGCTAGTGTTGTGTGACTTTTGCTGGGGTAGCATAACTCTGCAAATCACTGTGAAGTTCCTGGAGCCCATGACAGTAGGAGGCAGCTACCCTGTAGTCTGCGGATGAGGCAGTGGGTCTCTGGCCAGGGTGATTTCACTCTGCCAATCATGAGGGGGTCCAGGAGCCAACGGCTGGGGATGCAGGAATCTCAGAGTCTGTGGCTGAAATAGCGTGACCTTGTCCGGATATGTGAGCCCTTAGTAGCTCACTGCAGTGTCTAGACGCCAGCCACCAAGGAGTGGGAAGTCGTAGTTTCTGTTGGGGGAGTTGTGTGCCCTTGGTTGGAGAGGCACACGCCCACTGGCGGCTCACAGAGAGTCCCAGGAGCTGCCTGCTGGGGAGGTGGGCTCGCGGGGCCGTGCACTGAAGCTGCGCAACTGCGGTGTCCAGGCGCTGGCCGCCGGGGAGTGGGGAGTTGTGGTTTCTGCTGAGGGAGCCATGAGCCCTTGGAGGTGGACGTCCTGGGGTCTGCAGGTCTGCGGGCGAGGCTGTATGACTGTCTGGAGTGGCTTCAGTGTCCCGAGCAGTGTCGAAGGCCAGTCTTGGTGGAGGCAAGGCTGGGTTCCTTTTAGAGGCCACTCTCCCCTTCAAGATGGCATGGGCTCCCTGCCAAGCCCTGCAGCCCGGGGAGTGCCCGCAGCAGTGGCAGGGGCTCCTCATCCAGGAGAGCCTGGTCTGCCAGCCCCTGACACTCCCGCAGGATCTAACTGTCCCTCACTTACACAGGCACACTCCCTCCCTCCCTCACTCACAACCTCTCCCTCACTGCTGTCCTGCCAGCCGCCATCTTGCGAATCTCTTAGTGAAGTATTTTAAAAGACGAGGGGAAATGGTGAAATGTGTAATAAGTAAGGGAATGGCTGGATCATTTTACTAGTATATCCACTAAAAGAATGCAAATCAATTCTATGTAGCATCCTAAGAAATGCTTATATTGTGTTCAAATTGGTATATAAAATGATTTCTACCTATCAATACAATTAATTGAAGACTATATATACAGATGGCAAAAGTTCTAGAGAAATGAAAATGGTTTATTTGTTAGAATATAGGGATTTAGAGTGAATTTTCACTTCTAGTTCCATTAGCATTGGTATAATGTGACTTCTTTAGCAAATAATGAAATAATAAAGACAGAATAAAACAAACCAGTGAATGTGTTTTAATATGTACTTCCCATAGCTGCAATACTGACATTTTAAAGCAGATTACTAGGTATGAAGGTGGCTGAACACATACATTTACCTCCTGTCTACCAATGGTCCACTAAATGACAGTAAACAAAATTAAGACATAAAGTATAAGGACAAAGATAATGGGGAAGCAGAAAATAAAATTTTGAAAGCTTTAACGCACGTGAAGAAAGCTGAATCATAAGGTGGGGAGGAGAAAGCTGAGAAGCAACCTGATTTCCACTTCAGGACCCCTGATGTGGGCACCAGCTCCAGTCCCACAATATGGGCAGCAGACAAGAGAGAGAAAGTCTCTCTGGGGAATCTGACCAGCCCATGGGAAAACCTATAGATAACCATACAGAGGAGATCAGGCAGCAGGTCAAACCATGTGCACAGAGCTTACACGATCATTTTGTGCTTCATTCTTATATTATATGTGAGCAAACTATCAAGGATTATCACTCATTTGGGAAAAACATCTCAATAATAGGAGAATAGAATGTGAAAGAGAGAGAGAAGGAATCAAAGAAATAATTCAAGAAAACTCCTCCAGAGAAAACTATGAATTTCTAGATTGAAAAGGCTCACTGAGTATCGAACACCATGGATGGAAATAGATGATCAAAAAAATCACCTAATTTTGGAAGTCTTAATGCACAAAGAGAAGATTCTACAACCATCCATATAGAAGAAGAAATGGCTTGTATACCAATAATCACCTTTGTAGTTGCATTAGCCTCATTTCAAATGCTTAATAGTCACATGTAGCTAATGACCACCATATGGAACAGCACAGGGAAGAATATCTCCATCACTGCAGAGCATTCTGGTGAACAGCACTGCTCTAAGTAGCACTGCTCCTGATTTCTAGTAAGACTCACCCTTTATGAAGTTATGTTTCCTGCTGGCCACTTTTCCATGATGACATTGGTTTTGTAGTTTTGTTGCAAGATGAATATGTGCTTTCTTTTAAAGATGTGCATGTATCAATATCACTGTTTTTATTTTGTTTTACAGTTGTTTTTTCAGCAATGATATTTGAGACTATTACAAATCAAGATCTGCCTGTGATCAAGTGTGTTTTAATCCATCATAAGAGCAATGATTCATCAGTGGGGATACCTTCATCATATCCCACGGTAAAGTAATATTAATAGTATACGTTTAGCTATATTTTCTATTGAGACCTACTATGGCTATATGGGCCTTTCTTTTTATGTTTTTACGTATATTATGTACTCATATATGGTGCATATGAGCATCTATACTCATTGCTACCTGGCACTCCACTCCATTAAGAGTCATGTTCTCTTTGAGTTCAGTTTCAAGGAAAAGTAAGGGAATCTCATTTTCTTCTTAGAGAGCAACCAGACTTCTCTCTCAAGCCCGAGTCCCCAATTTCTAACTACCTTTTGGATATAGATAGATGTTTTCCATTTTCTCATTAATATTTTATCCACAATTAATTCCAGTTCTATTTCCTCAAACCTGTTCCCATTCTTGTATTAATTGATTTCTGTTTATGGCCCTGTCTTGTTCCCAGGCTTGAAAGCTCAGTGTCACTTTGGAGTACTTACTCTCCTTTGCCTTCACATGTGCTCAGTACCAAGTCTCATCAGTTTCCTTTCTTGACTAGTTCTCATATAATCACTTCAGATTCTCTAGTCTCACTGTCACTTCCCTAATTCAAGCCCTCATTAACTCCATCAAAATCAACAATAATATCTTATGTAGCTTCTTCCTTCTGCAGCTCATCTCACATGGGCCGTCAGACTATTCTTCCGGAAGCACAGCTCTAGCCTTTACTGCCTGCCTTGAGACCTTCAGTGACCTTAGTTAAGCTGACATGCAAACTGCTCCATAATCTAGCTCTGACTCCTTCAGGTTTCAACCTTGGTTTTCATTACTCTTCTCCTTGCTGTTCATCTGACATAGCCTGGGTATTTACATAAATAAAGGAAGCTTAAACAATAGTGAACTGAGAATATTGGAAGTCTGTGTACAATAAAGAGCAAACCTAAATTAGCCAACTTCATGGACATTTTTAGTTAGGATTTATACCAATATATAGTCACTATTTTCTTTTGCATAGGTATAACACATAAACACATGACATGATAACCTATGTGTCCCCCCAAATCAAAGATATTAGAAATATTCTCAAATCTTAAAATCAGTATGAAATAAGTTTTAATGACAACATTCTACATGAATGATAACACCTAATTTAATGCATGATTTTTTAATGCCAGAAGCATGTTTGGTTTGAATTTGTTAATCGCTATTGGTATAGTAACAAATTGGCTTATGAATAATGTATTTGCATACATAGTATTTCAGTGAAGATGAAAAACTAAATATTATTTCTATAATGTTTTGAACTTTTAGTGTCTTTAAATTTTTAAAAATTGATTTTAGAAAAAGAGGAAGGTGGGGAGAGAGAAAGAGAGAGAGAGAAAGCAAGAGAGAAACATTGGTTTGTTGTTCCACTTAATTATGCATTCATTGATTGATTCTCGTATGTGACCTGACCGGGGATCGAACCCACAACCTTGGCATATTGGGACAATGCTCTAACCCAGTGGTCGGCAAACTGCGGCTCGCGAGCCACATGCGGCTCTTTGGCCCCTTGAGCGTGGCTCTTCCACAAAATACCACGTGCAGGCGCGCACATACAGTGCGATTGAAACTTCGTGGCCCATGCGCAGAAGTTGGTATTTTGTGGAAGAGCCACACTCAAGGGGCCAAAGAGCCGCATGTGGCTCACAAGCCGCAGTTTGCAGACCACTGCTCTAACCAACTGAGCTACCCAGCCAGGGCTTAGTGTCTTTTCAACATAAGAAAATAATTGCACACATTTAAATGTTTTCTTATAAAACACAATCTTTAAAAAATTGATGATTAGCCCTAACCGGTTTGGCTCAGTGGATAGAGCATCAGCCTGCGGACTGAAGGGTCCCAGGTTCGATTCCAGTCAAGGGCATGTACCCTGGTTGCAGGCACATCCCCAGTAGGGGGTGTGCAGGAGGCAGCTGATCGATGTTTCTCTCTCATTGATGTTTCTAACTTTCTATCCCTCTCCCTTCCTCTCTGTAAAAAATCAATGAAATATATATATTTTTTTAAATTGATGATTAGTTTTGTTTCCTAGTATTAAGTCCTGCATTATTATTTTTTCATGTAGTATAAATTATATTTTTAATTAATATTCAGGATTATATTAAGATCCAGTAGTTCTTAAAAAGCATTAAATTAATAACCATAGGACTTCTAATTGTGGCAAAGGTGAGCATTCTTCATCATGCATTTTCATCTCCTTGAAGTTGAAGCTGCTGTGTTTGGGTATTTTCCCACTTCAATGAGAAGTGGATTATCAAGGTGTCTGGCTTTTTTTTTAAGTTTTAAAAAAATATATTTTTATTGATTTCAGAGGAGAGAGAGCTAGAAACATCAGTGATGAGAATCATTGATGGCTGCCTCCTGTACAGCCCACACTGGGGATCAAGCCTGCAACCTGAGCATGTGCCCTAACCAGGAATCAAACCGTGACCTCCTGGTTCATAGGTTGATGCTCAAACACTGAGCCACACCAACCAGGCTAAAAAAGGTTTTGAAAAAGATTTTTTAAATTTCTTCCACAGTTCACAGTTTTCAGATGAGATATCTTTCTGGAAATTTTATACTCAGGGGTGTTTTGAATAACCATGCATTCATTAGTAAAGAAAATTTGTCCATGAAAACCTAGTAAATAAGCTTCTACAGCCCTTACCTATATTAACAGTGTATCCTGGACCCAAAATAAGATGATTTTACTGTGCCCACAGTCTACTTAATTGTTGTTTAAAATCAGAATATTTTCATCATTCTTCATTTCTGTTTGAAGATTAAGTTGCTGTGTGCTGGCTTATCCACTGCAAGTTACTATTTTTTCCTTTGTAATTAACAAATATTTTGGGGGAGATGCAAATATCCCTTTTCTCCTCCAATTCTCACCTGCTGATTTTAGCTTCCATTAGCGGACTTTGTCTACAACAGTTATTACTGTGATGTTTGCCTAATGGTGATTGTTCCTTTTCCCTCACTCCCTCTACATTTATTAATTGGCATTCTTCTGTGAAGAAGAGCTTTCCCTTCTCTCTGTTTTATTTATTCAATTATTTATCAGTATGGCCTCATCTCATAGACATTTATTTGATTCTATGGGTTATAACCCAGAACTATCATTTTTATTTTGTTGTACAAATGGTTCCAGCATTGGGAGCTACTTCACATTGGCTCCTGTGTCCCTTCAACATGTCCCTATCTTTTCTCAAACACTTACTTTTTGGTATTATAATGTAGTTCACGCTCATCTTGTATTTTTCTCACCTCAGCCCTGGAATTAATCACTTCTCCAAAGAGCACTGATTTCTTGGAGAACAGTATTTAGAAACCAAGATCCGAGAGCTGGATGTGCTCATTGCTACTGGATGTCATTGCTTCTAGGCCCTCTCAGCTGGCAAAGCTATGAAATGTATGCATGTATATTAACCAACCCCCCCCAACACACACACACACACACACACACACACACACTATATTTATTGCTCTCTATCATCTCTGCATCTGTCTGTCGTCTATCTATCTATCTATCTATCTATCTATCTATCTATCTATCTATCTATCATCTCCATCCATCACAGTAAGTTCAATATGATAACTCTGATTTTAATTTGGCACCAAAGGTTTCATTCTAACTTTCCCTCTTATTAGTATTTCTCTCTCTGACAGTAAGAAACCTGGATCTCATTATCTATAACAATTTACTATGTATTCCATTCTAGCATATACTTAAAGTAGTTTCAGAATTGTTAGCCCACATCCCAGTGAGAAATAGGACAAATAAGTAGAATGCTGTTGTTGTGTTATAATTATTTTTGTCTTTAACCTTATTGTATCCAAAGTATTATTTTTCTGAGTCCTTTACTTTCCTACCACCTTCACTATGGTTATGTTATTATTAGACATTAAGTTCATTTGGTTTGCATTCCATTTTGAGTTTCTCCCATATCCCAGTTGGTTTTAATTATTTATTTTTTGAGTATATGAAACATGATATGGTCCTAAAAGCCAAAGCAATATAAAAAGGTATACTCAGTCCTGGCTAGGTAGCTTGGTTGGTTAGAGCATCATCCCAATACACCAAGGTTGTGGGTTCAATCCCCAGTTAGGGTACATACAAGAAATACCAATGAATGCATAAATAAGTGGAACAACAAATCAATGTTTCTCTCTTTCCCTTTCGCTCTCTCTCTCTCTCTCTATCTCTCCCCCTTTCCTCTCTCTCTAAAGTCAATCAATAAAATTTTTTTTAAAGTATTCTCAGAGAGGTATCACTTCTTTCTCATCAATATTACCAAGTTTCCATCCTTTTCCTACTTACCTCCTGAACTTAACCAATTCCTTTAGATTTTGGATACTATTCCTATATTTCTTGTGTACAAATGAGCAGATACATGTGCATTTTCTTTTTTGTTGTTGTTGTTAATCCTCACCCAAGGATATTTTTCCATTGATTTTTAGAGAGAGTGGAAGGGAGGGGAGAGACAGAGAGAGAAATATCAATATCAGAGAGACACATCAATTGGTTGCCTCCTGCATGCATCCTGACCAGGGCTGAGGATCAAGCCTACAACCAAGGTACATGCCCTTGACCAGAATTGAATCTGGGACCCTTCAGTCTGTGGGCCAATGCTCTATCCACTGAGCAAAAATATAGTTGTTATTGTTAATATATACGTTGCTGTTGTTGTTAATCCTCACCTGAGGATATATTTTTAAAAATATATTTTTATTAATTTCAGAGAGGAAGGGAGAGGGAGAGAGAGATAGGAACACCAATGATGAGAGAAACATTGATTGGCTGCCTCCATACCCCACACTGGGCATGGAGCCTGCAACCCAGGCATGTGCCCTGACTGGGAATTGAACTGTGACCTCCTGGTTCATAGGTTGACACTCAACCAGTGAGCCACTCCTGCCAGGCCTATGCCCATCTTTTCAGATCCAACTCCACTGACTCAGTGAGGCATGCCCACCACCCCAGCTTGGAAGTCGCCTGTCCCTCCTCTGAATTTCCAGAGCACTTACATTTGCCTGTCAAAGTAATTGGTGCCTTTTTATGGGTCACATTTTATTTCAGTTTTACTTACTTCTTAATACTAGACTCAAAACTTTAAGGATAAAGTTTTCTTTTCTTTCTAGATTCAACGTGCCTGGCAGATGGTCTAGCACTTATCAGATACTGATTAAATGAACTTATCTGGTACTAACTGAATAAGTGAACAAATAAAATCAGAAATATGACTTATGGTCAATAACAGAAGAGCTACCTTGCTTCTCACCTGAAGAAGCTTTTGTGTGTGTGTTTGCACACATGTGTGTGCACTAACTATATACTACATGTTAGGAGATAGGAGGTGAAGGTTCTCACATTAGAATTTGCTACCACACCCTCCTCTCAATATATTTCCATTTTTTGAAGCAGGCCAGGTATGTGGTGGTGGCAATGAGCCTATGGGGAATATCTGCCCAGAAAATATTTTGGTTTTTAAATTCCCTCTAACACAAATACCAATTTACTATGTAGATTTGTATCTGCATACCAAGAGTCACAAAAACATTTACCTGTATATTACAAATTTTGTGATTATTGTCTGTATATTAATTTGCTAGAGCTATCATAAGTATCACAGGCTGGGTGACTTAAAAACAGAAATTTATTGTTTCATAGTTCTGGAGCCTAGAAGTCTGAAATCTAGATGTCAGTGGGTTGGTTCTTTCTGAGGCTGTGAGGGAAGGAACTGTTCAGGCCTCTCTCCTTGGCCTGTAGGTGACCCTCTTCCTGTTAACATGGCATTCTCCCTGTATGTATGTCTTCTCCAAATTTCCTCTTTTTATAAGGATACCAAGCATATTGGATTAGAGACCACCTAATGGCCTCATTTTAACTTGATCACTTCTGTAAAGACTATTGAAAAATAAAGTCACATTCGGAGGTACTGGGGGTTAGGACTTCATTATATGAATTCAGGGGTCAGGGGATAGCACAATTCAACCCATAACAGCCGGTAAAATATTTTAGAAATGCAGTCTAAAGTTATCTACCTTTTTAAAAGAGAATTATAATTAATGTGATTTTTCAGTCAGTGATACGTTCTCAATGGGTGCAGTACATTAACATGTATGTATTTGGAAAATGTTTCAACTAAGAGGCAGCATTAAATATACACTTGTAGTAAGTTCACATTGTTTTGTATGTTTCACAGGCATCAGAATCCCCGGAAGACCTTGGCTGTGCCTTGAGGCCTGAGAGTGCAGAGGCAGTCTACGAGGCGGCCAGGGTAGAAGTAGACGCATCTGCATCCATCACACTGCAAGTGCTACTCACAACCCCGGGGAACATTTCCTGTCTCTGGGTCTTTAAACACAGCTCCCTGAATTGCCAGCCACACTTTGATTTACAAAACAGGTAAGGGAGGGAGGTGGATGTGCAACCATGAGGATATTTGGAGGAATGCTTTTTTTTTTTGCTATAAAAATATATTTTGCTTCATTTAGAGTTTATTTTCAATTTCTGTGCATGTCCATTGTAACTCTTATCTCCAGTGAAAAAGTGAACTAAAAATCTACTTAGGGCATAGATACATGACATTATATATTTGTCAAAACTCATAGGATGTACAACACAAAAAGTGAAGCCTAACGTAAACTATAAACTTTAGTTAATATAAATATTGGTTCATCAGTTGTAGCAAACTGGGGTTGGGAGGAAGGATGTATGCAGAATTTCTCTTTACTTTCTGCTCAGTTTTACTGTAAACATAACATTGGTCTAAAAAGTCTGTTATTTTAAAAAATTATAAATAGATATATAAGTATAGTTAGGGCCTAAGAAAGCAGTGAGTAGCTGGTAAAATATAAAACACGCTAGAGGCCCGGTGCATGAAATTTGTGCATGGGTAGGGTCCCTAGGTCTGGCCAGTGATCAGGGCCAGTCGGGGCCTTCTTGCTGCTGGCTGGGGCCTCCCTTTGTTCCACACCACCCCCTGGTTGTTAGTGCATGTCATAGCGAGCACTCGAACTCCCAGTCTCCTGGTCGAACTCCCGAGGGGACACTTTGCATATTAGCCTTTTATATATATACTAGAGGCCCAGTGCACAAAAATGTGTGCACTCAGTGGGGAGGGGGGCGGTCCCTCAGCCCGGCCTGTGCCCTCTCGCAGTCTGGGACCTCTCAGGAGATAATGACCTGCTGGCTTAGGCCTGCTCCCGGGTGGCAGAGGGAAGGCCCAATCCCTAGGTGCTGCCCCTGGTTGGGCTCAGAGCAGGGCCGATTGGGAAGTTGGGGCACTGTCCCCTGTCACACTCAAGGCAGGGTCGATAGGGAAGTTGCGGTGCCACCCCCTGTCATGCACAGAGCAGGGCCGATCAGGGGGTTGGGGCGTTGCCCCCTGTCACACACAGAGCAGGGCCTATCAGGGGGTTGAGGAGCTCCCCCCTGTCACGCACAGAGCAGGGCCAATCAGGGGGTTGAGGAGCTCCCCCCTGTCACGCACAGAGTAGGGCCAATAGGGGAGTTGGGGCACCGCCCCCTGTCACACACAGAGCAGGGTGGATCAGGGGTTTGGGGCGCTGCCCCCTGTCATGCACAGAGCAGGGCCCATCAGGGGGGTTGGGGCTCCATACCCGGTCACACACAGAGCAGGGCCGATCAGGGGGTTGAGGAGCTCCCCCCTGTCACTCACAGAGTAGGGCCGATAGGGGAATTGGGGCACCGCCCCCTGTCACACACACAGAGCAGGGCGGATCAGGAGGTTGGGGCGCCTTCCCCTGTCACGAACAGAGTAGGGCGGATAGGGAGGTTGAAGCCCCGCCCCCTGTCACACACAGAGCTGCAGGGCGATCAGGGGGTTTGGGCGCTGCCCCCTGTCACACTGCTCCAGGGGCCAGGAGGCCTCGCAACTCCGCTTATCCCAGGCCGGGAGGTCTTGCGGCTCCTCTTGACACCAGGGCAATGAGGCCTCGCGGCTCCGCTGATCCCAGGTTCGGGAGGCCTCGTGGCTCTGCTGATTCTGGGTTCGGGAGGCCTCGCGGCTCTGCTGATCCCGGTGCTGGGAGGCATATTACCCTTTTACTATATAGGATAGAGGCCTGGTGCACGGGTGGGGGCCAGCTGGTTTGCCCTGAAGGGTGTCCCGGATCAGGATAGGGGTCCCGCTTGGGTGCCTGGCCAGCCTGGATGAGGGGATGATGGCTGTTTGCAGCTGGTCACACCCCCTTCAGGGAGGGGGTCCCTACTGGGGTGCCTGGCCAGTCTAGGTGAGGGGCTGAGGGCCCTTTTCAGGCTGGCGGGCGACTGAAGCTCCCAACCTCTCCTTTTTTCTTTTTCTTTTTTTATTCTGGGATTTATTTACCTTCTATGGCTGTCACTGGAGCTGAGAGCCAGCTCCAGCTTGAGGCCTCGGCTTCTGAAAGCAGGGATCTGGGTTTGTTTGGGTTCTATAATTGTAACATTGTTTCGGTCCTGCTCACTCCAGCTCTGACGGCTGAAAGCAGGATTCTGGGGTTTTTTTAGTTTCTATAATTGCAACAATGTGTCTTAAACTGCAAGCTCAGAGGCCGGTAAGGCAGGCGGGGAACGTTGGCTTCCTCTGTCACTGGAGCAAGCAAGCCTCCTGTTTGCTTCAAGCTGCCTGGCTGCCGGCCGCCATCTTGGTTGGCAGTTAATTTGCATATCGCCCTGATTAGCCAATGGGAAGGGTAGTGGAGGTACCGTTAATTACCATGTTTCTCTATTATTAGATAGGATAGATATCGAAAAGACTATTTGTCTTGTTTCTTAACTGTATTAAAGATAAAAAGTTAGAAAGTTTTAATTACATTCTAGTTACAGTGTCAAGAAGCTTACTAATTAAAGTAGTAAGAAGCTTCTTTCTGAGAAATGCTTGGGGAAAGAACATTTGGTTTTATCTATTTTGTTTTACAGTATGAGCGTAATTGAAATGTGATATCCATAAAATATTTTAGTAAGAAATTGATCTGTGTGTGAGGAACACTGGTCTCATGATACGGAAAAATACCTTAGCCAATATTTGTGGATTGACATCCAAGCCTATATCTAACTCTGTCCTGATTGCTGTCACCTGTTGTCCCTGTCCTCTTGCTGAGACCTGATGGGGTCAGGAAGCAAGGGGTACAGGCCATTTAAATGCCCACTTAATAATTCCAAGGCTGCCTTTCTCTCTAATTCTTGGGGGTGTTCTGGAGCCCAAGAGCTGTAGAAGAGGTATTTATTATCTTTCCAGAATAGAAAGACAGCAAATGGCACCCAAATGACCTAACGGGGGGGGGGGAGGGGGTATCAGGCCATTTGACTGAGGTATGGGACATCTCTGTGATGGACTTGTACCAAGAATTTCTATTTGTTTCTTTAAGTTCAAGCAGACTCTTACGTAATTTTCAGGACAGTGGCTATAATTCTGAAGTTTGGTTCTAAATCTTGGAACACATTCATTTTCTTTTCCTCTTTTGAGACTGTATTACTCACTTCTGTTTTTCAGTTACCTTTATCTTTGGCTTAAACTAAGGCACTCTCATATGAAGAATTTTGGCTTCAAGAAATGTTCTGGAAATCTTATTAAAATTTGATGCCACAACAGTTCCCGCTGGATTGAGACCAAAGAGACAAGTAAAAGAAGTAGGGTCCTTTTCACTCCATGAGAGAAGCGTTTTTCACTTTGGAATAAATAGGCAGCTCTGTTTGTTAGCCAAAGTCATAGATAGGTCTTGTGGATTAGTTAACTTAGCACCAAAACATTAGTTAACATACCAAAACTTTTTCACAAGTTACATGAGAAGAGGGAATGATTCAGAGAAAGAAGGCCCATCACCAAAATATCTCCAGAAACCAATCCAATGTATACTAACCCAGTGATTTGCTGTCTATGTGAGTGCAGCGCAAATACTCCTGAACTCTGCTGCTTGGAGCTCTGAGCATTGGATGGCCTGGGGGTCTTGTTAAAATTCGGATTCTGGTTCAAGAGGTCTAGGTGGTGCCTGAGATTCTGCACCTCCATCAACTCCCAGCTGATGCAAACACTGTCAGGGAAAGACCACACTTTGAGTAGTAAAGATCTAAATGTCAGGAAGTGTACATTTAAAGCCAACGTTACTCAACAAACTGCTGGAGAATATTTTAAGCTTTAATGAGAATGGGTATCACCAAACACACACCAAAACTGTTTCTTTAAAGAGAATGCCCCTAGCCAAATTTATCTTTATTGAATATCTGAAAAGTTAAAAATGCAAACATTGAGACATCTTCTTTACATCTATGTGATATGTCAGTGTCATTATTACTTCATAGGAAAATGCCTTGTGTCAGATTTTGCTTGAATTCTCTCGTTCAGAGAGGCACAAAAAGATTTATTTATTTTTAATCTCAGTATATCTTGCTTGTACAGTGATCTGGTTCTGGAAATGGGAATTGAGGCTGGTAGCCAGGTGACTGGGCCAATATGACAGTGGGAATTGTTTGGTCAAAGGGAATGGTACCCTATTGCCGACGGGAGCGCACCACTCCACCTGTGTGTTTGGGGTGGAAGATCCTGTGTGTTTGGGGGTTGGGAAGCATGCAGGGAATGTGTTGGAGAGGAGTTCCTTCACTTGAGAGTGAGAGACTGGTTAAAAGTCAAGGTTAAACTATCAAGTGTTGGGCACGTGACAGAAGCTGTGTTCTCCATAGAGCAGCCGTTGGTGCCGCAGTCACAGACGGAATATGGAAGACACCGAAGCGCCTTCTGACTCAGTATGAAATTTTATGTTTTTAGTTTCACACGTTTTTCAAAATAACTAGTTCTCTTTCTTCTTTTTCAGAGGAGTTGTTTCCATGTTCATTTTGAAAATGACAGAAACCCAAGCTGGAGAATACCTGCTTTTTATTCAGAGTGAAGCGACCAATTACACGATATTGTTCACAGTGAGTATAAGAAGTAAGTGCCGCTTGCTACAAGGTCCTCACAGTAGGCATTGCCCTTGTTGAGAACCCAGGATCTTTCCCATCTGCTCCGCACACAACATACAGGTTTCCTTCAACATGGAGTGGAATTGATTGAATTCACTTCAACCATCCATATAACGGGTTGAGACTCTCTGACATGACCCGGGGACTATCAGAATTAGCGCTCTGGGCCAGCACCGGTTTGGCTCAGTGGATAGAGCATCAGCCTGTGGACTGAGGGGTCCCAGGTTTGATTCCGGTCAAGGGCATGTACCTTGGTTGCGGGCACATCCCCAGTAGGACATGTGCAGGAGGCAGCTGATCGATGTTTCTCTCTCATCGATGTTTCTGGCTCTCTGTCCCTCTCCCTTCCTCTCTGTAAAAAAATCAATAAAATATATTTAAAAAAAAAAAGAATTAAAAAAAAAAAAAAAAAAAGAATTAGCGCTCTGAAAAACCCAGGTAGCCTCAATTGAGGTCCCCCATTTTTTTCAGTGACAGATAGCTGACATGAAGAAATGGAAAACATTTTAGTCTTGGATTCAGAAGACCTGGATTCTTATTCTGGATCTGATATTACCACCTCTGGCAGGTCGCTTAATCACTCTGAGCCTCAATTTCTCTATCTGTAAAAAAGAGATAAAAACACAGACCTCCTGGATTGTAAGATCTTAGCCCAGTTCATGGTCTCTGAGGCTATGAAAATGTCTGTGTCTGCTCTTTCCAATATGGTAGCCACCAGCCACGTGTGGCTGTTAAACGCTTGAAATGTGACCAGTGTGACTGAGGAACCAAAGTTGTCATTTTAGTTAATTTTAATAAATTAAAAATTGAGCTTACATTGCCACATATAGCTAGTGACTTTGTGGTTATACAAATGCCAGGTCACCATGCAAACTGTAAGGAACAGCCATATGTTCTTAACCAGGGAGACGAGACAGCTGTGTGGTTGGCAGGATCATCCCGGCATGTGTCTTCTGGATTCTTGTTTCCTCACTTGTGCACAGGCTTACGGACTACACAGGTTCACACTATGTGCACTGAGCACTTCACCCCCCACGTCAGACTAGACCAGAGGTAGGGCATTCACATAGGTCCTACTGCCCTAGGGGCCAGGGCAGGCCTCCCAAAACTCTGGGTTTGTGCCATGTAAGTTGGGTCCCTGGCTACACACTGTAGGACTTGCTAGGCTCCCTTCTTCCTTGTCAGTGACTGTGGTGTGTGTGAGTCCAGCCCACAGAGACGCCCTGGCCAAGGACTACCCTTGGTGAGGGTGTTCTGCACGTAACTTCTCCATCCCCACAGCGACCCCGCCTGCATGTAGGTGAGAAAACGGGCACGCCAAGAGGTGTGGTAAAGGGCGCAGGTGGAGTTGAGTTTAGCCAGGTCTGCACTTCCTGCACCACACTGCACAGGGGCTTGCAGTCAGAGTTGCTAACAGAAAAAACGCTGTGGCCATGTAGGTTCCCAGAAGTGTCATTTTACTGGGGTGGGGTGGTGTGTCAGGTTCTAAAATCAGCTTGTAAGGCAAAAATTAGGTAAAATCAAAATTTGTTCTGAAAAACTGTTTTATTACTCTGAAATTTATTGAATCCGACCTTAGAAGCTCAAAAGACAAGAGCTGCGCTTCTTTGCTCTTTGATTTTGGTCCTGTTCTCTGTCCTCTCCTCCACGCCTGACTCCCCTCTGTGGGACAATAAGTCTGTGTGCTTCAGGTTGGAAGAGAGTAAGAGATTTCTTCCTTTTTTTGTTTTGTTTTGTTATTCTCACCTGAGGATATTTTTCCCATTGATTTTCCAAGAGAGTGGAAGGGAGGGGGAGAGACAGAGAAATAAACATCGATGTGATAGAGACACATCTATTGGTTGCCTCCTGTCCAGGGCGAGGAATCGAACCCTCAACTCTTTAGTCTTCAGCCTGAGGCTCTACCCACTGAGCTAAACTGGCTAGGGTGTCCATTGATTTTTAGAGAGAGTGGAAGGGAGTGAGGGGAGAGAGAGAGAGAGAGAGAGAGAGAGAGAGAGAGAGAGATGGATTGAGAGAGATTGATTGGTTGTCTTCTTCACCTGCCCTGACTGGGGCAGGGAGCAGTGGATCGAACCTGCAAGCCAGGTATGTGCCTTTGACTGGGAATGGAAACCCACCCTTCGGTGAGCAGACCAATGCTCTGTCCACTGAAACACACTGGCCAGGGCAGGGATTTCTTGCTTGTTCTCTCTCTCTCTCTGTCTCTCTGTCTCTGTCTCTCTTCCCAAGTGTTAATATTTGAATTTTTTTAAGGTAAGTGGGCATCTGCTGTGCTCTATTATATTTAAAATATCTCCTTTCCACTTATGATTTACAACGTAAAAATTTTTCAACAATCATCATTCAAGTAAATTGAAACTTGTTTTTAGCAGATGAAGTTTTAAAAAGTCAGATGGGGGAGACTTGGCAACAGTCAATGTGAAAAAGAGAAACCGTTTAGTGAACCACAGGCTCTGTGTTCACCGGCAGTGTGGCATGGCTCCTAAAAAAGGGAATCTGGACCTTGGCCGTGTTCATGAAAATATGATGTCTAGGTTAAGGAAATCAGTAGATCTCCATTTGTTTTCAGATGAATATTGACAAAACAGGACAATCAGCATGGTGATGAACTTGGAATTCCTTAAGTGAGGAACGGTGGAAGGAGTTGAGAATGGTTAGCATAGAGAAGGGAATATTTTGAGGAGAGGAGAAGATTGAGGGCAGTGTGATGTACAGGGAATTCTTCTGGCATCTGAGTCAGGAAACCTGGTCTAATTAGAGTAATTATCTCCCTTAACCTGTGTTTCTGATTTTTTTTTCTTTTAGTAGCAAATATTTTCATTTTTCAATTACAGTTGACAATATAACATAACTAGAGGCCCGGTGCATGAAATTGGTGCACAGGGGTGGGGGTGGGGGTCGTCTCTCAGCCCGGCCTGCACCCTCTCCAATCCGGGACCCCTTGGGGGATGTCCAGCTGCCTCTTTCAATCATGGACCCCTGGCTCCTAACCGCTCGCCTGCCTGCCTGCCTGATCGTCCCATCCCCTCTGCCTGTCTGCCTGATCTTCCCTAACCACCTCCGCCTGCCTGATTGCCCCTAACCACTTCTGTCTGCCTGCCTGATTGCCCCTAACTGCTCCCCTACCTGCCTGATTGACCCTAACTGCTCCCCCGCTGGCCTGATGGCCCTAAACCGCCTCTGCCTTGCCCCGCACCCGGGACCCAGGATTCCCTCCTCTGGCCAGTCACAGGCACCTGGAATCTGGGCTTCTCTCCCTCTGGCTGGCCGCAGGCACCCAGGACCTGGGCCAGCTTCACCCGGGCTGGCCACAGCCACAGGGGACTGTGGGCGGGTGGCTTCGCCCCAGCCGCTGGTGCCCGCAACCATGGAATGGGTGGCTTGTCCCTCTCCTGGGCTACAGGCACAGGCACAGGCACAGCCGCTGGCACCCGGGACCGTGGGGCGTGCGGCTTTTTCCTCTCCTGGGCCACAGCCTGGTTGGTTCCCATTCCTCTTGAGAGCTCATTTGTGCCTGGCTGGTCCCCAATCCTCTCTCCCCAGTGTTGAGTGTCTGAGCCGTGACAGCATGAGGGCATGATGACCATTTGCATATTAGCTCTTTATTATATAGGATATTAGTTTTGGGTATGAAGCACAGTGGTTAAACATTTATATAACTTAAGAAGTGTTTGGTTTCTATTTTAAATATATGAAAGATTTTCATGTGGAAGCAAAGCTACACTTTAAAAGAAAATGGCTCTAGAGGGTAGAATTGGGACCAATGGTCAGAAATTGCAAGAAGAGAATGTAAAAACCACCAGAAAATGGAATATTTGCAACTCACAAGTCAACAAAGGATTAATAGTCATATAGATGGAGAGCTCCTATAAATCAGTAAGAAAAAAAAACACAGAAAAATGAACAAGAGACATAAGTGCTCATTTCTTTTTCAGAACATGAAAACTAAATGGTCAATAAATATGTTAAGTTAATCATTGAAAAATGCAAATACCACAACAAGATATCATTTTACACCCACTAAATCAGGGGTCCTCAAACTACGGCCTGCGGGCCACATGCAAATACAAATATTGTATTTGTTCCCGTTTTGTTTTTTTACTTCAAAATAAGATATGTGCAGTGTGCATAGGAATTTGTTCATAGTTTTTTTTTTAAACTATAGTCCGGCCCTCCAACGGTCTGAGGGACAGTGAACTGGCCCCTGTTTAAAAAGTTTGAGGACCCCTGATCTAAATGGTTGAAAATTCAGAAGTCTCGGTGAGTATGTAGAGCATAGGCAGTCTCATATCCTGCTGTGTAAGTGGGAATTAGTACATATAACCACTTTGGAAAACAGATTGTCATTATGTGTAAAACTGAATGTGCTCATACCATATAAACCAGCAGTTCTACTCCTGGGTATATTACTAAAGAAAGTTACACACTGCCTCAGTAGGAATGCACAGAGTATTCATAGCACCATTGTTGATAATACAAAAACCTGGAAAACACTCAATGTCTACTGCAAGGAAATGGAGTCATAGATTGTGGTATATCACCAATGAACACTGTGTAGTAGTGAAAAAAAAAGATGAAGTATAGCTACATGCAGAACCATGGATGAACTAAAAATATAAGATTGGATCAAAAAATGAAGTTGTGTGAGACTACATATTGAATGATACCTTCTGTTGAAGTTCAAAAACAGTGCAAAGAAACTAACACATTGTTTAGGGCAACGTGTCTGTGTGGTGAAAACATTTTTTATTTTAATTTTATTATTATTATTACTATTATTATTATTACTATTTTAAATCTTCACCCAAGGATATGTTTCTATCTGTTTGTTTGTTTATTTATTTATTTACTTATTTATTTGAGAGAGATGTGAGAGATTAATGTGAGAGAGATACATTGATTGGTTGCCTCTCATAGGTTCCTGGATTGGGGATCAAAGCTGCAACCTAGGTATGTGCCTTGCCCTCGAATCAAACCTGCAATGTTTTGGTACAAGGGACAGTGCTCCAACTAACTAAGCCACCCGGCCAGGGCAGTGACAACATTTTTAAAAGCACTGGAATGATAAACACAAAATTCAGTATAAAGGTTACCTAGGGTCCAGAGATGGGGAGAAGCACAAAAGTACATTCAAAGGTGTTTATTAATATTCCGGTTATTAAGCGAGTATGAGTCTATGGGCATTAGTTTTTATTATTATGCTCCAGAATTTATAGTTCATAGTAGAGGCCCGGGGCACGAAATTCGTGCACCGGGGGGTGGGGGAGAGTCGTCTGTCAGCCCGGCCTGCACCCTCTCCAATCTGGGACCCCTCGGAGGATATCCGCTGGCACCTAACCGCTCGCTTGCCTACCTGCCTGATCGCACCTAACCACCTCTGCCTGCCTGATTGCCCCTAACTGCTCCCCTTCTGGCCTGATTGCCCCTAACCGCCTCTGCCTCGCCCTGCAACCAGGACCCAGGATTCCCTCCTCCAGCCGGTCGCAGGCACCCGGGACCCAGGCTTCCCTCCTCTGGCCGGCCACAGGCACCCAGGACCTGGGCCAGCTTTGCCCAGGCCAGCCGCAGCCACAGAGGACCGTGGGCAGGCGGCTTCGCCCAGGCCGAAGCTGCAGATGCCCGGGACCATGGGGCGGGCGGCTTGTCCCTCTCCTGGGCCGCAGGCGCAGCCGCAGCCGCTGGCGCCCGAGACTGTGGGGTGGGCGGCTTGTCCCTCTCCCGGGCTGCAGCCTGGCTGGTCCCCATTCCTCTCTCATGAGCTCATTTGTGCCTGGCTGGTCCCCATTCCTCTCTCCCCAGCGTTGAGTATCTGAGCCGTTATGGCGTGAGGGCATGACAATCATTTGCATATTAGCTCTTTATTATATAGGATATTCTTTTGTGTATATATGTAAACACATACACATATATGTATTATACTAGAGGCCCAGTGCACAAAATTTGTGCACGGATAGGGTCCTTAGGCCTGGCCGGCGATTAGGGCCAATCAGGGTCTTCCATCTGCCAGTCAGGGCCTTCCTTCGTTTGGCGCCACCCCCTGGTGGTCAGCGCACGTCATAGCGAGCGATCGAACTCTCCTGGTGGAACTCCTGAGGGGACACTTTGCATATTAGGCTTTTATAGATAGAGATAGTAATATATATCTTATGTAATACTTTAAGATAAATTTATTATAAGATGGGAGATTAGAAATTAGCATAGGGAAACTTTCTTTTTAAAAAAGGTTTGTTGAAAAATGGAAGGATCTGCTCAGGGAAGTAGTGAACTCCTGTCCATAGAGAGGTCCAAGCAGAAGTGGAAAGTAAGTTTATATATTAGGCATTGTGGGAGTGGCACAGAGGGGAGGGAGAGGTGTGGTGGTCCAGTGTAAGCAGCAGGCTAAACTGAACCTCTCAATTCTGTTCCAGTTCTTTTTAAAAGCTTTATTTTTAAAATTACAATTGACATTCATTATTATTCAGTTCCAGTCCTACCTCTGTCTTATTATACTTCTGCATTCTAAATTTGTGTATTTCTGCCTACTTAAAATTATGGGAAGAAAGTTGGGTCTTAAACTATATAAGAATGGGTTTTAAACTTTGATATTTCCAGTTTTCTTTTTTCTATCTGTATCAATATTTGTATGTTCACATGGCCTCACTCCACTCATCTTTATTTGTCTGTGGACTTATGAAACACCCAAGAAAACTGGCTAAGAGCATAAATACTAAAGGTGGTGTTTCTACTAGAGTTGAATTTAATATGTTGGTGAGGGTTATATTGTTATATATATATTTGGACTGGAGCAGATGACACTGCTATGTTATAAAATACTAGCCTTTTTTTAAAAAATATGTTTTTATTGATTTTTTTTAGAGAGAGAGAGAAAGGGAGAGGGATAGAAGACAGAAACATCTATGATAGAGAAGCATTGGTTGGCTGCCTCCTGCATGCCCCCTACTGGGGATCGAGCCTGCAACCTGGGCATATGCCCTGACCAAAAATTGAACCAGCAACTTTTTGGTGCATGGGCAATGATCAATCCACTGAACCACACTGGCCATGCAATATTAGCCTTTCTTAATGATACAGAATTTTTTTGAGGGTACTGCTAATACAATTTTTAAAATGTTAAAATACTCATAATTTGTGATGCTTTAGATACACTGCTTTACACATTGAGGAGACCATACTTTAGAAAAATGGAAAATGAGGACGCCCTGGTCTGCATATCTGAGAGCATTCCAGAACCAACTGTGGAATGGGTGTTTCGTGATTCACAGAGTGAAAGGTACGATGTGTATATAGAGGTAACTGCCATGATTCCTATACTTATTTGGTCTTTTTCTAACGCAGTTGATGTCATACTGGATGTGCAGTTGAACTTGTCACCATGTTAACAGGAAACTTTGGCGTTTGGAATGATTAGCTTGGACTTTAACAGGGGGCAAAGGGGTTGCTGTTTTAGTAAGGAGGCCTTTTGGAACTCTCCTATGTTGCCTCACTAAACTGCAGGGTCCTCCCTGGACATGACACAACACAAATAAAAGCCCTTTAAGTTACAGGGTTGTTAGCTCCCTGAGTATCTGGTTGGGGAAAAAGAAAGGTATGGACTGTAGTGCATTGTTCCCTATAAGTAAGAAATTCCCTGGAAATAAATGCTTAATTTGTGGTTATTCTGTTTATTTTGGAAGAGAGCAGTTAAAATTGATTGTTTAAGGACATAGAATCTGGCCTGAGTTTGAACCCTGGCTTGCTTACTAACTGTGTGGCCTTGAGCATGTTACTTAATCTCCTTTCTCATCAGAAGAATGGGGATGGTAACCGTACTTATCTCATAAGATTTCTATGGTGATTAAATGATTTGCAAATTTTGAAACACAAAGAACTATGCCTGGAGATGGTGAGTACCACATAACTGTTTACTTTTGGTTTTTAAATGTGCAATTGCTAAATTTTCACAAAGTAAAAATGTATGCAATTTTAGCTAATTAAAATTTATTTAACAACTTTTGTTGTAAAATGGGACGAAAGGGGAGAAAAAGAAATGATATTAATGTGATCCCAAATTTTAGATGGGAAAGAAAAAGAGATTACCTGTAGATAGGTATGTAATGTATGCATAGACAACAAGAAAATTAGAAAGCTACACACAAAAATCTGGGTAATTTAAAACTCTTTTCTTTGTTTTTTTCCCCCTAAGTTTTCCAAAATTCCTACAATGAACCCAAACTATTGTTGTCTTATTGTCACTGGAAAGGGACTGGGCCCAGAGTGGGTCTGCCTAGGCTGGCAGTAGCGTGTGGGTTCTTGACTTTGTACAGGAAAGATTTTACAATACGAGTCCCGGTGATTTTGAGGGTACGTTTATTAAAGCTGGGACAGTAAAACAATAAAGGGCTTAGGATAGAAGAAGCACCAGGAGAGAAACAGGCGCAGCTGCTTTGGCCTCTAGAAATGTTATAGGAAAGAAGTGAGTCAAGGCGGGGCTGCTGCCAGCTCACTGGGAAGTCAGAGAAGAGGGGGCCTTAGGGACAGGTTTAGAGGGTTAGCTCGGGACACCTGCTGCTGCTCATTGCTCCCGTGGTTGCAGGTTTCGTGGGGACCCTTGGAGTTTAGGAGAAAGGCAGCAAAAGTATACAACCGAGAAATGGAGGGGCATGGGCATACTCCAACGGGAGCACACACAGGCTTCCTTTGTCTTGAGGGTTTTTATATCTGTTTTCTAAAGGCAGAAAATTTAGGGGAGATCTCAACAGAATATTTATCAGCTCTCCAGGTCTGTCCTTCAGTATGCTGATTCATTGAAATGAGCGGATAGAGGGGTCTGGGTCATTCTCTGGTCAGTTTCACCTTGAAAGAATGTCATCGAAGAGCGACCTGACGGAGGCAGGTCTGTCCCCCGGCACCCAGTCTGGAATGTGTAAACCATTTCCTCCTAGGTATGCTTGGTTAGGAAAGATAAGACCTTGCAATTTATTATTTGGCTGTAAATTGCTTGGCCAGTTTGTTTAGCTTTGTTTCCGTTTCTCCATTACACTTGCCAAGGCATTTTTCTAGCTTTTGCTATCATGCCTCAATATAATAAGAAAGGAGAAAAGCTCTCATGGGATGATGCATAAACAAAGAAAAAAGCACACCTGCCTAAAATGATAAAGAGGAGAAAAGTGACTGTACACAGACTCCAAAAGCGTCTCTGCTTTGGGAAAGGTCATGATTAGGGGAGCTCTCCGGAGGACCAACGAACCAATGAACGGAGGGCCAACATCCATCCTCCGCTGAGGGAGGAGAGGAAAGGCTCTCCACCAAATCCCGAGAAGTGGCTGATGTCCCTCAGGAGGGACACCCCGACTCTCCCCTGTTAGCTCTGGGAACTGATGACTCCCTCTCAACTGGTTGTCTCTTCTGTGCTTCAAAGAAAAGCTCTGTTAAGCTGTATTATAAAACTTAATCATGCTTTTCCTTCTTTTCCTCCCCTGACTTCTGTCTTCTTTCTCAATTCTTTTTCTCTCTAAACAACAACAAAGGAGTCACCAAATACAAAAAGTTGGAAACTGTTCTATTATGTAATTCTCTCGAGTGTTCTTCTCATTGTTGAGATAGAGTGTAACTAGTCCCCTATGAACTCGGCTGAAATGACAGATGTGGGTTTTTATCTAATGCCCCTTGACCTGCTCCCTCTTTGCATTCTTAAATAGACTCTTAATAAAACAGGCTCTGCAACCTGTAACTTCGTTCTTCTCCTGAACATTCATTTGTAATTTTAAAATATGTTTAGTCAAATGACATTTATTTTCTAATTATAGCTATAAAGGAGAAAGTCCACCCATTGTTACAAAGGAGCAAAGTGTACTTCATGAGTTATTTGGAACAGACATAAGGTGCTGTGCAAGAAATGAGCTGGGCAGGGAATGTACCAAGCTGTTCACTATAGGTAAGACCATACATAATGTTTCAGTGACTATTCCTTAGAAACGATCTGGGACTACTGCGACCGTTTAGGTCAGTGATGGCGAACCTTTTGAGCTTGTCATGTCAAAATTTTGAAAAACCCTAACTTAACTCTGGTGCCGTGTCACATATAGAAATATTCATAATTTTTTTTTTGATATTTGCAACTATAGTAAAAAAAGATTTATATTTTTGATATTTATTTTATATATTTAGATGCCATTTAACAAAGAGAAATCAACCAAAAAATATGTATAAAATGAACAAAAACAGAAAAACAATGTACATTTAGGAAAAAATAATAATAAAAACAATGATAATCAAATGGTACGAAAACTAGAAATTAGTGACTTTTTTGGTGCTGAAGTTTGTCTGCTAATTCTTCGATTGCAGGTTCATACTTGGTGCACTTCAAGGCCAAGCAAGCGCCACTAACTTCATCTGTTAGCCGGTTTCTTTTGTTCGTTTTAATATTACCTAATGCTGAGAACAAAGTCTCACAAAAAATATGTTGATGAAAAAATTGTTAGCAAAGCCATCGATAGATTTTTTATGTCGCTAAAAGTGTCAGGTACTCTGTTCCAAGCACTCAAAATCTCTTGTTCGTAGTTGCACTCTTCTTCGTTATTCAAACGATTTCGTTCCAGATTTTCAAGTTTCGACCTTAAGTTGACAAACACATGAGTCCAAATGCTACCTTGAAAATCTGCAAGTTGCATCTCTAAATCGTCAATTTGCATCCATTGGAAATCCTTTAATTCCAAAATAATGTAAACAACTACATCCGGATACTTAATTATTTTAATGGTCTATTCTAGGCTTCTAAATTGGTCGAATCTTTCGCTGAACTGTTCAAATAACGAGTTTACTATATTCTGGTACATAAGTATGGAATCCATTACACTCGTTGTAGTGGCCTTCTCGAAATACTTTTTTATTCAAGGAAAATACTTATAAGTTTTAGTTTCAATATCTCACTTGAAAATTTTAAGTTTACTTTCAAAAGATTTGATGTATCCAAACATAACGTCAATACTTTTGCCAAAACCTTGTAATTTTAAGTTCAGTTCATTCATATGAACAGAGAGATCTGTAAAAAACATCAAATTGCTGACCCACTTATGATCGTTGATCTGAGGAAAGTTTGCCAGATTCTTATTCTTAATAAATACCGTAATTTCTTCAAAGCACTCCACAAATCGCTCAAGTACTTTACCTCGACTCAGCCATCTCACATTATTGAACATCAGTAGTCCGCTATAGGTTGAATCAACTTCCTGTAAAAGTGCAGAAAATTCTCGCTTGTGAAGGGGTCAAGAAGCTATAAAATTCACAATTTTTGTTACAACTGACATTAAATCATTCAATTCTGAGAATCCCGATTTGGCACACAACACCTCCTGATGGATAATGCAATGAAAAGGTACAAGTGGATGTCTAATAGCTTCCATAAACAATTTCAAGAATCCCACATTTTTTCCCACCATATTTGGTGCCCCATCTGTCGTGACTGACACAATTTTAGAGATATCAATGTTTAGGTCACTGAATGTTCTTATAACAACCTTACATATTTCGTTTCCTGATGTACTTATTGGCACTGATTCTAACTTTATCAACTCTTCTCTCATTGTGAGACCATCAGAATATCTAGCAATAATGGCCAACCGAGCATTTGATGTGACATCAGTAGTTTCATCAAGAGAAATAAAAAAAATTTACAACTATTTACAACTATTTAAGTCTTTTTTTAATTGATGTTGTACATTTTTGTTAAGATCTATTATTCTGTCTTTGATAGTATTTCTACTGAGTGGTAACTCAGAAATTATTTTAATAATATTATCTTTATTTTTCATATCGTGAAATAGAGCTGGTGCACATCTTAGAAATGTTTCCTTAATAAATTCTCCGTCACTGAGGGCTTTTCCATGCTGAGCTATGGAGTGAGCAATACAGTAACTTGCTGATGTTAAATTTGTAGAACATCTTACAAATTTAATGATGGAATTTGATTGACTTTTATAGAGGTGTAGCTGCCTAGAAATGTATTCCTTCCTTTCATTGATACTTTTTTTCAAGAGCTGACAATGATTAGTTTCAAAATGTCTCTTTACATTCCACATTCTGCTTATTACCGTTTCATTACACAGTTTGCACAATGATCTGTTGTTTCTGTCGACAATCCCGTACATCTCGGTCCATATGTCTTGAAAGGGTCGGCTACTGCTACTTCCACTTCCTTTATCATTCAATCTTGCTTTTTTATTTTTTTGATTCTCCATCACAAAGCTGCAAAAATAAATAAATATAAATCATGGCGTTTTTTATAAAAGGTTGATAGGTTTCTTACCTATTAACTTTTTGCAGTGTTGTTGCACTGACTCCTGGTGCAAACAATGCAAAGATAGTATGTATAACCAACAAATATATGGTGCTGTAATCAGTTATCCGACACGCAGAATGTCTCGTCGAGCACTGTTGCACTGTATATCTTTTTCTTCTAACCCTCCCACTCCTGTCTCCTAACGAACATGGCGATCAAGTGCGTCCGTTTGCCGAATGCACCCGAACACATGGGAAGCTTACCCGAGGCACATGTTGGCAATAACGAGGCCGTTTCCAGAATTGGGCATTTTGTCACTCAAGTAAAAATAAAATATCATGAGTAAAGATTAATCTCTTTATAGTGCAGTTCTTAACCTTTTTATATTAATGTCAATATTGGAACAATGTATCTTGGATGTTTTCACTATGTATCTTTGCTACACAACACCGATGTACATGTTTACATCTGGTTTTAGAATTGCATTATTGATCATGAGTAACGTGAGTAATAATATTACTCGAGATGCCCAACTCTGGCCGTTGCGAGAGACAAATATTTGAATTATGCAATTTTTTGTCTCTGTCGATGCGTGTCACCCAAAATGAGTTCGTGTGTCACCTCTGACATGCGTGTCATAGGTTCACCATCACTGGTTTAGGTAGTCATCCAACTTCAGAAATTTTATGTGCCCTTTATACCACTTTAAATGTAATATTATGGATTCTTTTTTTTTTTAATGAAAAAATGTATTTATTTTAAAAACATTTTTTATTTTTCAATTAGAGTTGGCATTCAATATTATATTAGTTTCAGGTGCATAGCATAGTGGTTTGACAATTACATAACTTACAAAATGATCCCCCCAATAAGTCTAGTGCCCATCTGGCACCATACACAGTTATTACAATATTATTGACTATATTCCCTATGATGTACTTTACATCCCTTTGACTATTTTGTAACTGTTAATTTATAATTCTTTTTTTTTTGTTTTAATTAAATCTTTATTGTTCAGATTACATTTGTTCCTCTTTTTTCCCCCCATAACTTCCCTCCTCCCAGTTCCCGCCCCACCCTCTGCCCTCACTCCCCACCCACTGTCCTCATCCATAGGTGCACGATTTATGTCCAGTCTCTTCCCGCATCTCCCACTCCCCTTTCCCCCCCAAGAATAGTCAGTCCATTCCCTTTCTATGTCCCTGATTCATTATAATCACCAGTTCATTCTGTACATCAGATTATTTATTCACTTGATTCTTAGATTCACTTGTTGATAGATGCATGTTTGTTGTTCATAATTTGTATCTTTACCTTTTTCTTCTTCTTCTTCTTCTTAAAGGATACCTTTCAGGATTTCATATAATACTGATTTGGTGGTGATGAACTCCTTTAGCTTTTCCTTATCTGTGAAGCTCTTTATCTGACCTTCAATTCTGAATGATAGCTTTGCTGGATAAAGTAATCTTGGTTGTAGGTTCTTGGTATTCATCACTTTGAATATTTCTTGCCATTCCCTTCTGGCCTGCAAAGTTTCTGTTGAGAAATCAGCTGACAGTCGTATGGGTATCCCCTTGTAGGTAATTGAGTCTCTTTCTCTTGCTGCTTTTAAGATTCTCTCTTTGTCTTTTGCTCTTGGCATTTTAATTATGATGTGTCTTGGTGTGGTCCTCTTTGGATTCCTTTTGTTTGGGGTTCTCTGCACTTCTTGGACCTGTAAGTCCATTTCTTTCACCAGGTGAGGGAAGTTTTCTGTCATTATTTCTTCAAATAGGTTTTCAATATCTTGCTGTCTCTCATCTTCTGGTACCCCTATAATTCTGATGTTGGTGCGTTTGAATCTGTCCCAGAGGCTCCTTACACTATCTTCGTATTTTCGGATTCTTTTTTCATTTTGCTTTTCTGGTTGGGTGTTTTTTGCTTCTTCGCATTTCAAATTTTTGACTTGATTCTTGGGCTCCTCTGGTCTGCTGTTGGGTGTCTGTATAATATTCTTTTTTTTTTTTTAAATATATTTTATTGATTTTTTTACAGAAAGGAAGGGAGAGGGATAGAGAGCTAGAAACATCAATGAGAGAGAAACATCGACCAGCCGCCTCCTGCACACCTCCCACTGGGGATGTGCCCGCAACCAAGGCACATGCCCTTGACCGGAATCGAACCTGGGACCCTTCAGTCCGCAGGCCGACGCTCTATCCACTGAGCCAAACTGGTTTGGCGATGTATAATATTCTTTATTTTAGTCAGTGTATGCTTAATTTCTAGTTGGTTCTTTATCACAACATCGAGGGTCTCATTAGATTTCTTGAGGCTCTCATCCAGTTTATCGGCAGTTTCTAGCAAATTATTGAAAGCCCTCAAAAGTGCGTTTTTTAGCTCTATATCCTCCATTTCTGTCATGTTTTTTTGTCTCCGCATTTTTTATGCTTTCTTGGTGCACCCCCTTGTGGTCTTTGTGCGCAGTCTTGTTCTAGTTAAGCCTTGATTGTTGTAGTTAATACTAGAGGGATTTGACCACCAGGCCGACTGGCTGTGAGAATCAGCTGTGTCTGCAGTGGGAAAACTTCTGTCCTCTGGAGAGGTGCTAATCTAGCCTTTGCCTGAGGCGATCCGGCAAATGGCTCTGCGCAGGGCTTGGGCGGGTCGGGTTGCAGGGGATCAACAGGGCGGATGGAGGGAGCAGTTATGGCTGCTCTCAGTCCCGTTCCCAGAGGCTCTGCTTCTCAGAACCCCAGCAACCGCTGCAAACCTCGGAGAGAAAGCTGCCCTCACGTTCCGACTGATGCTAGACAATCCCGCTTCTCCTGTTTGAGTCTGAGTCCCTAGAGACTCGCCCGGATCTGGAGCTCAGAGTCTGAGACTCCCTCCTGATTTAAAATTGACAACCGCGCCCTCAGCCACCAGCCGGCTCCACGCGCACCTCCGTACCTTTGTATTTTCCACACTGCGCCTCCTCTGAGCCTCGGTATGCTGTTCTCTTTCCTTCTAGTTGAAGAATCTCTCCTCAGCCAGCCTTCCTGTGGTTCTGGGTGATGTTCATTCCGTCTTTTAGTTGTATTTTTGAATCACTGGTTTAGGTAGTCATTCAACTTCAGAAATTTTATGTGCCCTTTATACCACTTTAAATGTAATATTATGGATTCTGTAAATGCTACAAGATTTAACAAAAACTAAATATTTTAAATAATTAGTTTTTAAAGATTAATAATATAATAAAAGATTCATGACATTTGCGATGATGTTAAAAACTTTATTCTTCAGAACATTCTGAAGAATATACTTTGCGATGAGTAAAAATCACTTTTTTCTTACTTGGGATGTTTTCTTCTTCTAGATCTAAACCAGACTCCTCGGAACACACTGCCACAATTATTTCTTAAAGTGGGGGAACCCTTGTGGCTCAGGTGCAAAGCTGTTCATGTAAACCATGGATTTGGGCTCACCTGGGAGTTAGAAAATCAAGCACTGGAGGAGGTAATATGCCGCGTTTGCATTCTGAAAATGCTGAAACAGCCGACTGATAGTCCAGGTTAAAATCATTAAATCCATTTTGTTTTATTAAAACCCAGGGCAACTACTTTGAGATGAGTACCTATTCCACAAACAGAACTATGATACGGATTCTGTTTGCTTTTGTATCATCAGTGGGAAGAAACGACACTGGATATTACACTTGTTCCTCTTCCAAGCATCCCAGTCAGTCAGCTTTGGTTACCATCGTAGGTAATGCAGGCTGCGCACGCAACCTTTATTCATATTTTTAGTTGCTTTGGTGTGGACTGTGAGGTATGTGCTGTGAATTCTGATTTCAATATAATGTTAGTGTCAAAAGCTGAGAAAGACACTGAGTCAGAATAGCTTTGCAAACATAAGCTTCCTTTTCCAGGCAAGCCCGATTGAATGTCACTGCCTTCGTAATTGCCTGTAATTGCCTCATTGTACTATGACCATCTGTTTGTGGAATTTTGTTTTCCAGTAGAAGTTCCTTAAGGACAGGAGTAATTCCTCCTATCCTTGTAGTCCCAGGACTGGAACACAAAACAGGCAGTTGATAAATGCTTGTTCTAAGAACTGAGAGGGCAGTGAACAATGAGGGATCTGGACAAGCACCTACCTGCGTTGAAATTTGGGTGAAAGATGGAGGATTTGAAAATAATCATGCTTTTTAAGTAATTTCAGATTAGGTGGCAGCCTTCAACTGTAACGAACAGGCTAAGAAATGAAATGATTCTCTCATCACACTGATAAGGAAGTATTCTACGGGGAAGCCTTGTGAATATTGGTGGCTAGACTGTTCTTTCACTTGTGCCCTGCGGTTACTTTTTGTAGTATGTGTCACTGAGAGAGCAGTCTGACTGAGGACCCCTACTCTGTACATGGTTGGATGGGCTGGGGGAGCCCTTTTAACCTTTTTAAATTGTCTGCAAAAATCTATAGGTTTATTAAAACATTTGGGGAGGGAGAGACTCAATTATTTACATTCAGTTCTTAGAGGAATCTTAATTCTGGAAGGGGATGAACTCAGGCTTATAACTGGATAGGTCTCCTGTATTTCTTAGACTAGCGAATCTAACCTGCAGCATGAATTTTCTTGCATTAAACTGATGAATAAAAATGTATTTATCTTCTCCATATATTTCCATAAATGTTTGGTGTTTTTTTTTTTTTTACAGAAAAGGGATTTATACATGCTTCCAAAACAAATGAAGAGTATGAAATTGACCAGTATGAAGAGTTCTGTTTTTCTGTCAGGTTTAAAGCATACCCACAAATCAGATGTACGTGGAGCTTCTCTAGAAAATCATTTCCTTGTGAACAAAGTGGCCTTGATGATGGGTACAGGTGAGATGACACAGCTCCAGGTCTCGGCATCATCTTCTCACAACTCTTTTGTTGCCCCAGCAGAAGAGTGGTTTTGTGTCATGAATTGGTATATTATTGAGTTGACACTGAAGACAGCACATGTGCAGACACAGTAACAGAGAGTTTTATAGTCAGTTCAGATAGTGTCACCCACTGCATGAAAAATGGAATGATTCTGGCTGGTGGGGTTCAGTGGTTGAGCATCGACCCATGCACCAAGAGGTTGACAGTTCGATTCCTGGTCAGGGCACATGCCCAGGTTGCAGGCCAATCCACAGTGGGAAGTATGCAGGAGGCAGCCAATTGATGATGTTTTCTCTCATCATTGAGGTTTCTATCTCTCTCTCTCCCTCTCCTTTCCTCCTTTCTCTCTAAAATCAATAAAAACATTTTTTTAAAAGAAAAATGGAAAGAATCCTATTTGCGCAAGGTTCCGTGGCATTTTCTGAGTCACCAGATTGTTACTTCCTATTTGAGAGTGCATGCTGCAGTGAGCACACCAACGCTCCCTCCACACATTTGCAGAGGATTGAGGAAGTAAAGCCCTTCAAAACAGGAAAACATTACCTATCACTGTATTGGTTTGTCTTCAAAAAATTGGTGCAGAAATTGCCCAATAATCAATGCTAAAGGATTTGTACAACTGTACTTGGGGTTCTCTTATGGAAGAAATTCTTCATTCCTTTTTTGGAAAACAAAGATTTTTTTTTCCTTTGTCTTTTCTATAACGATGACACCTTTTATCTCTTGAAAGGAATCCTATGCAACTTGGTTTCAGACTAGACTGTGACTGAGAGGCACTCTGTTCTGAGGTCTGTGCCCTGACTGATGAACAGTCCCCTAACTCAGGGCTTCTCAACAGCAGTGCTGTTGACATCTTGGGCTGGTAATAATTATTCTGGGGGCCTCTCCTGTGCATTGTAGGGTGTTTAACAGCATCCCTGGCCTCCACCCACTGGATGTCAGGAGCACCACCCCCAATTGTGACAACCAAAATTATCTCCAGACGTTGCCACACATCCCTAGTGAGGAAAACATTGCCTGGGTTGAGAAACACTGCCTTAGAGTGATCACCTCATTGTCGTAAGCCCTTATTCTGAATCATCAAACATGAAAGTAGGAGGTTGGGAGTCAGCCCCCCTCCTAGTTGAATTGACTACCACAGGCCTGTGTTCAAAGGCTCTCAGAGCTTTAACTCTCCCCTCCCTCTGGGTTGTGGCCCAGTGTCAGGAGCACTTGACACTATGGGATTCTCTTTTAACCCAATTCAAAGAGATAAAAATACCAGTTCAGTTTAGTTCAACGAATATTTCCTTATTATCCTCTTGATGGGCTTGATTCTGTGTGGGGCTGCAAGGGTGAATAAGGTAATGTTTCTCTCCCCCGCCCCCTCAGTTTTACACAGGCACTTTTAAGTGCCAGAGGCCACCTGGGAGATCACTGCTACTGTGCTGGAGGACATCAGGTACAACCTCTTAAGATTTTACAGATTCATTGATTAGAGGACCATGTTTCTGATATATGGGTCATGGGCCAATTAGTAGGCTAGTTAATTTGATTTCATTCCATGATCACAGACTGCATTCCTGACCCCAAGAAATTATCTTATAACTACCCAGCCAAGTGAATGAATCAGCGCTGGTCCTGATTCCCATAGTGTTTTGTACCTCTCATTTGTCATGACCTGGTGATGTAGTGAAGCTCTCTGTGTATTGAATCTCACCAGTGAGTATATAAGCTCCATAAGGGATAGGTTCTCTGTCATTTCTCTATCCTTGTATAATGCCTCCTTCAGTCAAGGGGGGTTTAATAAATGAGTGAATTGTTGTCACCCCTGGAAAGCAACTCAAAGTGCATAACCTGGGCCAAAGATGTATCAGTGCATCCTTTTTGCATGGCAAGGACCACATACATGCACTTACCACAACAGTGTTCAATTTATTTTAAAAAGTTATTGAAGAACTTTAGTGTTTGTTGGTGATAATGATGCACCAGGGATGATGGGCTACTTAATACAAATACATAGGGAAGATGGCGCTTCCTTCTTCCTGAAAAAGGTGGTCAAAATATTGCATAAAAAATGAACAACAAAAATGTCAGTACTTCTCTGTTTTGAGATAAGCCATGAGATAAGACTAAATTGTAATGAGTTCTTTTCAACTTTTTATCATAAAATGTTTCAAATTTGCCAGTAAACTCAAAGAGTAGTACAGTAAGCATCCTTTTCCCACCACCTAGATTCAACAGTTTAGTCAAACTGAATTTTGTTGTGAAGTACAGTATTTAGTGTTGTAAGAGATGATACAAGTGTTTATATGTAACTGAAAGGTTTATGTAAAAACTTCACTCCTGAAAAAGCTTTGATGTGGTCATAGTGTGTGTGCCAGAAGTCTCTCAGCTTCCCTACCTTCACAGCTTCGTTTCTCCAATTTACTTCCTCAAATATTACCCCGCGGCTGATTAGGGCTTGCCTGGATGTGTTTACACTTTACTAAACTGTAACTTTCCAGCGGTCCTGATAGCCTGGTCTTGAGAAAAGGTTCTAGGACATTTCATCTGTTTGTTTGCATAATTTCTTATCCCTATAGACTGAATTATAAACAAATCTACCTTAGCTGTTCTTACTTTCACGATTAAAAAAACCAACAACCCCAAATTATTAGAATTTTACAATTATTTAATAAATTCCTCTGAAAGACTCTTCTTAGACCTCCGCAGAAACTTCCATCGGAGGAAGACAGGATCGCCCACTTCCTGACCCATGTCTTTCTGCGCTGGTCAAGCCGCCTCAGTGCTGCCACCTCAGTGCTGCCACCTCAGTGCTGCCAGCTCAGTCCTGCCAGCTCTCGGCTCTCCAGTTTCAGAAGCGCTCGGCCTCCCTAGCGCCCATTTTATTATTCTCTGCGTTCTGATTTGACTTTGATAATCTCTTGTTCTTTGAGTAAAACACTTTTTTTTAAAAAATATATTTTCCCTGAGCTACTAGAAAGAGCCTGCCCTTTCTCAACTCCCTCAAGGTGCTAAATGGAAAATAAAAATGACCTGCATGTTGGCTGTACAGAGGGGAAAACCCTTTTCATAGCCGTAATGAGAGTACCTCTCCTTAGTCACCAAGATATGATGTCAGTGTAAATTCCAATTCACTCAACTCCCGTCTCAGGCCAGCTGACCATTTTAGAAAAACACCAAGGGAAAGAGGAAGCCGTGAATCTCTCCGTCACCTCATCGGTTAGTCCCTTTGGAATTTCCAGGAAGGTTCAGTGACGCAGCTGTTTCTATTGCTAGGATTGGCTGTCTTAAACAGGAGGACAGGCAGCTTGAAATGACCTGGATATTCAGGCTGTTTAGATCACTTTCCTACCTGGAAGCGTGAGAACATTTGAGATGATATGTGCTTGACACCATGGCCAGTGATACTCAATAAAGACAGCACAAAAGCCTTAGGAGGGAAAGAGTTCACAAAACATTTTGCTGTGTGCAGCATGACAATCAATAGTTGTGTCAGTAATTTCTTTTTCTATCACATTGATGGGTGCTTTTGGCATGGTCCCTGGCTAACCACATGGCTTCTTTTTTTCTTTTTTTAAAATCTCTTCTTATTCCTTTTCAGGGCCTTTGGCTATTGTCCAGTGAGAATTACATTTCCCCTTATAGAGGCTCACATCTTTCTCTTCTTGGACCACATAAACTCTGTCTCCCTAAAGGCTGGAAATCACATATTTACTTTTCTCCCTGGTGTTATAGTTTGGCTTTTCTCCAATCTTTCTACCACTTCCACTTCATCAGTCATGCCCTTCTTGTTGTCCAGAAGTAGGCCAGGATAAGAAATTCCCTTTTTACTTCTTTTAAAAAATTTATTGTTAAATTACAGTTGATATACAATATTATATTGGTTTCAGGTATACATTAGTGATTCGACATTTATATGCCTTACGAAGGGATCACCACAATAAATCTAAGTACCCAGCTGATACCATACATAGTTATTACACATCATTGATTCTATTTCTTGTGCTGTACTTTACATCCCTGTGATTTATTTTATAACTAGTAATTTGTACTTCTTAATCTCCTTCCCCCTTTTCACCTGTCCTCCCACCCTCTTTTTTAAAAAATTGAATTTTAGAGAGTAGAAGGGAAAGGGAGAGAGAGAAAAACATTGTTGTTCCACTTACTTATGCATTCATTGGTTGGTTTTTGTACGTGCCCTGACTGGATATTGAAGCCTCTACCTTGGCATATCAGGATGACGCTCTAACCAACGAGCCACGTGGCCAGGGCTATTCCTACTCCATTTTTACTTCTTCAGCCTTCTTGTTACCAAGGCAGACAAAAAACTTGTTAAATGCTCATAGAGCAATGAATTCTATCATCGCTATACACAGTCAGAATTACCTTTTAGCTGCGGAGTTAAGGATGCACAACATTGAAGTCACGGGCTCATAGCTGCTCAAAAGTTGCTAACTGTGCAATTTGAATCTTGCATCAATTGGTGTTCTAGTTCCTCCTTCATCTCCATATCCAATCAAACACCTGCTTTCTCTTTTTTTCCGGGTGCATCTTGGATTTGCTCTTTCCTCTCCTTTCCCATTTTCCCTACCTTAGGCCACACTCATCTTTTCATGCTCTGTTCAAGTCTGAACTTTTACTTCTCTCCTAGGACTTCCCACATTATACTAGTACTGTAACTGCTTATTGACTTGCCTGCCTTCACCACCAAACTGCAAATTCTGTGAGAACAGAAATCTATTTTTTCTAACTCACTGTTGTATTTCTGATTCCTCCCACAAATAGGCTCTACCAATGATGGTAGAATGAATGAATAAATGCATGAATGAATGAACGAATGAATGAATTCCTGGGTTACAACACTGCCTCCAGATTTCATTCCAATAAAATTTTCCTACTGCCATCAGTCTAAATTAAGGTACTGTTTCTGATAATCCTCCCCTGCTCAGGATCCATAGCATCTTCTGCTTTCTCTATCAGATCTAAATAATTCAGCTGGGTTTTCCAAATCCTTCATCACTGGCTTTCCCCTACCCATTTAGCCTTCTTTCACCCCCTCTCCCCTCACATTTCAACAAGCACCTCTGCTCAGTTCATTGGCCTCCCCATTACTCTCCTTTAATAAGGCCGTATGAATTCCCATCTTATCTCTAAGTCCTTCCTTTTCCTCCTCATTGGATGTCTGTGCTTCTGCCCTCTCCTTAAAATGAACTCATCTGGCCCTAGCTGGTTTGGCTCAGTGGATAGAGCTTCGGCCTGCGGACAAACGGGTCCCAGGTTCAATTCTGGTCAGGGCAAGTACCTCGGTTGCAGGCTCCTGGCCCTGGTCAGGGGCATGCAGGAGGCAACCAATCGATGTGTCTCTCTCACATCGGTGTTCCTCTCTGTCTCTCTCTTTCCCTTCCTCTCCCTCTAAAAATCAATGGAAAAAATATTCTCAGGTGAATATTTTAGGGAGAGGGGAAGGGGGAGAAAGAGAGAGAGAGAGAGAGAGAGAGAGAGAGAGAGATGTTGATTTGTTGTTCCACCTATTTATGCATTCATTGGTTGTTTCTTGTATGTGCCCTGACCAGAGATTGAACATGCCACCTTGGTGTATACAGAAGATGCTCTAAGCAACTGAGCTACCCGGCCAGGGCCTGAACTTTCTTTTATCTTGTCAATGCATGAAGGCATATTCAACACTATCCCTACCTTTCCTACACTATCCTACATCCCACTACAATAGCCAACGTCCTATACACATGGTAGACATGATGGATAACCCCCAAGATCAAGTTATCCATGTCAAAATGTGTTGAGTGATTGATGAGCACTCCAAGTGGATACTAGAGCCTGCTGAGACTGCCCAAAGATTTTGTACAAACGCAGTTGATGTGAGCCCTCATCACTGTTAATTACTATTTAAGTTAAGGGTTCTTCATAGGTCTTGCTTTGGACCAATGCTAGAGAGCCATTCTTTTAGGAAGTAAGGGAGTTACAAGCTCCTCTAACTACAGAGGTTTTCCATATTTCTGGGAAGTTGGACTAGTCCAGAATGTGTGGAGCAGTAGGGTTGGGAACCTTTTTGTCTCTCTGAGGAGCCCAGTCTAGATCAGTGTGTCTCAACTTTTAATTTGCATATGAACCACATTAAAATGCAGACTCTGAGTCAGTAGGTTCCATTGGGGCCTGAGATTTTGTATTTCTAACAAGCTCCCAGGTAATACAGGTGCTAATGCTGCCTGTCCACGGACCCCACTGTGAGTAGCAATGGCCTAGTGTACAGACACCTCCTTGTCCATTGGATTTTAGAGAGTGAGTGTCTCAAGGGAGTTCCCTCCCATGCACACGATCATTCGTTTCAGCATATCTGTAACGAATTGGGCTAATTCTGTTTTTAATTCTTTTCCAAACAGCATATCTAAGTTTTGCAACCACAAACACCAGCCAGGAGAATACACCTTCCATGCAGAAAATGACGATGCCCAGTTCACAAAAATGTTCACGCTAAATATAAGAAGTAAGTTAAATTATTAAGAAATTTAAGTCTTATAACTCCTTAACTACTTATTAACTATGACCAGAAAGAGCTAAGTAATGGCTTAGAAACAATACTGTAAGACTTTTTATATACTGAAGCATTTTAAAATTTTACTTTCGTGCCTACTGGCTTCATTTATACATATTTCTCTTTCTGTGTTCATCCTTTGAAGCCAAGAGACTTATTCCATGTCTGTAAATGTGTTTAATGTTGTGACTATTGACTTCAGTACTTTGAAAGATCATGTTAAGGAAAGGCTGAAAGTCATATTACCTGCCATTTCCTTGTTTTAATAATTTTTGTTTCTCTGATCTATGAAAAGACGGGAATACATTTTATTGGAATTTTTGCAGATGCTTCTGAAGCTAAGAATCATTTTGAGGTGTTCAGGTATTTAAAAGTATACACCTTAGCTCTCTATGGAGCCTAGCAATGGGGAAGTGGTGTTCTGCAGGTCAGCGTAGGGCTGCCTATGCAGAAGACATGCCTGGGAAAGAGGGAACAAGCAGAGGTCTTGCGTCATTCTGCATGAGACACCTCCCAGAAGCACAAACTGCTCGGAGTAAATGGGCAGCCTATATGAAACTGACTTTGAAACCATTTGGAAAGTACTATACTACATGAGCCTATTTTTCATGTTATTCTCTACAGGGAAACCTCAAGTGCTGGCCAAGGCATCAGCAAGTCAGGCCTCTTGTTCCTCAGATGGATATCCATTACCATCTTGGACCTGGAAGAAGTGTTCAGACAAGTCTCCCAAGTAATAAAGACTCTGGTATCTCTTACTTTGGAAGAACATGAAACACACTCTCCCTGACATATTGGCTCTTTCTCATGAATACAGTTCAAGAAGAAATGGCTGTGTTTAAAATGCTTACCTTCTGAGTCCACCATAATTCGACATGGTCATAGATTATGTCTGATAACTTATGATAGAGGAATCTCTTTTTGAGCTCACTAGAGAAACCATGACTTCCAGTCTGAGGACAGCCCCACCTATCTAACCTACTTCTCTGTCTGCCGTTTCTTTTTAGCTGCACAGAAGAAATCACGGAAGGAATTTGGAATAGAAAGGCTAACAGAAAAGTATTTGGACAGTGGATATCGAGCAGTACACTGAACATGAGTGAGGCCATCAAAGGGTCCCTGGTGAAGTGCTGTGCGTACAATTCCCTGGGCACATCTTGTGAAACAATCCATTTAGGCTCACCAGGTACACAGCAGCCGCTATTGTAACAAACCACCTCCAGGAATTCCCCACTAGGAGTTAGTGCCAGTTCATTTTTATTGGGGGAATTTTTCAAGAACCTATAGGTTCAGCATGTGATGCAAGAAGGCTTTCTGAGTCAGGCAGGAATCCCCAGTGAACGCACACTGCTGTATAGTTCAGGGGCAGAGTGACTGTTGTGTCAGGTTATTAAGACCAGGAGTGATGTAGGTAGAACCATAAATTCCCAGAACAGTGAATATCTCCTGAAAGACCCAATTTTAGAAAAATAGATTTAGTAATTTGGAGTGGCTACCATTTTCCCTTTTGCTTAATCTCCTTATTTGCCCTTAGCTTGCTGTTTTATAATTTTTAGTTTTGTTTTTTAAAGCCATCCTAAGTTAATCCTGAAATTCGGCTGCCTACACTTACCATGCAGAATCGCCAGCATCCTTTAACGAAGTTTTCCATATTCATACAATAGAATGTCTTCAATATCTTTTTTTAATCTGACTTGTCTATCCTGTGGGTTTAAATAGATGTAATTCTTACATTCCTAAGAATGGGTTCAGGATCATGTACAATTTTCTAGGAAGGAAACTATTCCTTTATACTACCATCGCCTGATTTCCCATGGGGAGTGGAATATTTGCAGGAGCGTGTAAGCTAGCAAATCCTGGTAACTCAAGCAGGATGCGTGAGATCACGATGAGCGTTCACTATCATGTCAATCAGGAATCCTAAACTTTTTTGTTGCAGGACCCTTCCCTTTCTTCCAGGACAACATCTCATTCTATGCCACCATTGGGCTCTGTGTCCCCTTCATTGCCGTTTTAACCATGCTCATTTGTCACAAGTACAAAAAGGTAAAAAATCCTACCCCAAACCCCCAAACTCAAAGGGAAATGTTTATCATGGTTTCCTAGTTCTGAAGACCTGCCTGTTACTAACAGACTCATTTCATCTCTGAAGCAATATAGGTATGAAAGCCAACTGCAGATGGTACAGGTGACTGGTTCTTTGGATAATGAGTACTTCTACATTGATTTCAGAGAATATGAATATGATCTCAAATGGGAGTTTCCAAGAGAAAATTTAGAATTTGGTAAGAATCAAATGTGCCAGATGTTTCCATAGCATTTCATTTCTGTGGGAAAATCTTGAATATGTACTCATTCACCATTTCTCTTGCAGGGAAGGTGCTAGGATCAGGTGCTTTTGGAAAAGTGATGAACGCAACAGCTTATGGAATTAGTAAAACAGAAGTCTCCATCCAGGTTGCTGTCAAAATGCTGAAAGGTACAGTGGAATGATAGCCATAGAGATGGGTGGTACAGGCTCCACCTCCTCTTCTCTTTCCCATCTTTTTTTGTGGGTACTGCTCGCCATTCTTCAAAGCTGAAAAGGAAGTGAGTCGGGGTTAATATCAACCAAATCATGAATATAAAATGCAAGCCAGAATCCAAAACTCCACCTCTTCTTCCTCTTCTCTTTGTTTAGTTTTTTTTTGGGGGGGGGGGCGGTGGGAAGGGTGGGAAAGCTTCGGTATTTGGGAATACTGTTGCTACAGGCATATGTCATTTCTGCCATTTTGACATAGACTCTGGGGAGAAGAGCAAAGTGGAGCGCTCTGTATCGTTTCTCACTCCTTACTCTATCCACTCGCATCTGGCTCACACCTCCACCCCTCCCCTTAGTCTTGCTCACTTGGCAAGATCCCTTGCCCACCCCCCTGGCTTTTGCTAAGGTGGTCAGTGACCTCCAATGAACTAAAGTCTAATGGGCGTTTTTCAGTCCTCGTGTGACTTGGATTTTTAATAAACAGGCAGGATTGACTCTTCTCCATCTTTAAATGCCTTTTTTCCGTTGGTTTCCATGTCACCATTTTTTCTGGTTTCCTCCTACTTGCTGACTGCTTCACAGCCCTTTGCTGGCTGTCTTCTGCCCAGTTCTTTATGTGGTGTTCTGGAAGGCTCCTTCCTGAATCCCCTTCCATTTTCCCTCCACATGCTCACCACAGGCCGTCTCAACCACACCTGGGACTTTACCCTTACACCAGAGTTCTCATGGCTGCATCTTTCTTCTAAGCTTCAGGATCATGTGTACAAATGCTTGGCTGTCTCAAAAGTCCCTTTAATTCAGCTCATCAAACTGAACTCCTCCAACCCTTTCCACACAATTGGGCAAACCAGAAACCTAGGCCTCATCCTTGAAACTATCCCCATTCTAACACCCAGAAGCTATTCCCACCAGGTTTCTGCTTAGTGTCTTTCAACCCATCCTCTCTCTTATCTTTATCACCACCATCCTAGTCCAGCTTCATCTCTTCTGAATAACTGCCATAGCTTTCCAAGCAGCTACACTATATGCACTCCTACTTCCTTTCAGATTCTCCATGCCAAAGTCCAAGTGATGGTTATGAAATGCAAAGCAGACCTTATCATTTTCCTACCTCACATTTCCAGTTGCTTTCAATTACTCTTGAAATACACTACAGAGCCCTGCATGGTTTGGCATCTGTTCACCGCTCCACCCTGAACTCTCGGCCTTCTTTCAGTTCCTCCAGAGCCCAGTGCCCCCTCCCATCCCAGAGCCTTGCCCAGGCTGAGCCTCTCTGCTCACCCTTCCCCTTCCACATTGTGCTTGCCCACTCCTCCTTCAGATCTCGGCTTAAATATCACTTCCTCAGGAAACTTTCTCTCACACCAAAGATGAGATCAAGTTTCTTGCTAGATGCTGTCCTAGATCTCTGTAGACACCCCCCCCCACACACACACACACATAGAATTTATCACAATATGTAATGATATCTATGTTTAATTACACAAGTAATGTCTTATGTGCCACATTAGTCTGAATGCCTTACGAGGGCCAGGTCTGCATCTGTTTACTATGGTCTTTTCTTCCTTTGTTTTTGACCTTTTTATTCTTTCAATATAAAATGTTCTCTCTACTTCCTCACTGTGCATTCACCTGATTAATTCCTATTTTTCCTCAGTCTCAACATAGACATTTGGTGTCCCTTCCCCCTCCCTTCAAAGGCTAGGTTTGGTGTCCCTCTGGTGTGACCTCACAGCACCCTTACATTCATTTGCTCTATTGCATTTATCATACTACTAGAGGCCTGGTGCATGAAATTTGTGCACGGGTAGGGTTCCTAGGCCTGGCCAGTGATCAGGTCGATCAGGTTCCCCGCTTCCCGGCCTCCCTGCCTCCTCCTTCCCTCCCTCCCTCAGCACCCTGCCACTGGTCGCCTGCCATGTTTCGCGCCGCCCCCCTGGTGGTCAGTGCACATCATAGCGAGCGATCAAACTATCAGTCTCTTGGTTGAACTCCCAAGGGGACAATTTGCATGTTAGCCTTTTATTATATAGGATATTGTAATTCTTTGTTCATGTCTTCCTTTTCCAGGAGACTCTAAGCTCCAGGAAGGCAGGGGCTGTGTCTTGTCTATCATTTATTCCCCCAATGCTTGACACATGCTTCATACACAGTAGGCACTCAATAAATATTTGTTCAACGAATGAATGAATGTTAAGTAATAGTTATGAAAGTGATTTGAAAAAGTTAAGCATGCCATAAAATGTATTATTTTGGTTATGAGGAATAAGACACAAACATTCGAAAGCCACAAGTCCCTGTACAACCTGAAGCAGAAGAAGACATGCGGTGCTAGTGGGCCACAATGCACAAGTGAAGGATTTCATGCCCCAGACAAGATGTTGGAAATAAGACTGCCCTGGCAGCATCGATGCTCTGGAAAAGACATCATAAAGGCTAGGATGTCCTCCAGGACAAAATAGTATCTAATAAAATAGACCTGGAACTATCTAATACAATCTTCATTGAATGTAAAGAAAAGTAACTATGTTTGTAAGAAATAATAAATTAATAGAGGGATGAGTGCCTGGTGCCTAGAACTTGGAGAGGGAAGTCCAAAGATCCTGTCATTGCCTCTAAGGCTGCAGCACCCACCTGGGCAAGGGTGCCCTGACCAGCTGGCACATCAGCCTCAATGAGACAAGACCTTTGAGTTCCTCAATAACTACCCTCATGCTATGCATCTAAGCAAAATTATGAGTACAATTATGAGTACAAACTATCTAGACTTTTCCCCAGGGAGAGAATACATAGACCAGTGGTTACATTGTAGCCTATTCACCAGTTATAGTTCTCATTATCAATTAATGAGTCTCTTGAGAACTTGGTAAGTGGGAATTGGTCCTTTTGACCTTCTCAACATTGGGTCCACTTACAAATTTAAGGTTGTAGACCTGAGTGCCAACAGCTAGAGCCAACGACCTTCGCTGACATTCCTAGGTTGTTTTTCTATGAATTCAACAAATTTAGGAGGCAAAAAAAAAAAAGAGTTTTTCCCTTCAGCATATGTATTAACTTCTGTGAAGGAAAAGCTATTTATTATTATTTTGTTTTATTTTGCATTTTGAGAGTCAATATTAAGGATTTTTATTTTGGTAGAGGAACATCCAATAGAAAGGCACATTACTAAATTCAACTTTTAAGTTATTGTAATCTTTGAAGTTGTCATAAAACATAGGAATTATTCAAAATTTATGTAGTAGTTTACGTATTTTTAAAATTTTTATGCAAATCTACTCTGAACTGAGGAGAGTTTTAACTTATTAAATGACCTAAAATTCCTGTTTTACGTTGATGTTCTTCCATTGGCAGAGAAAGCAGACAGCTCTGAAAGGGAAGCTCTCATGTCTGAACTCAAAATGATGACTCAGCTGGGGAACCACGAAAATATTGTGAATCTGCTGGGGGCGTGCACACAGTCAGGTAATCAATTTCCCCTCAAAACTCCTAATCAAACACAGGTTAGCCTGAGGACAAAGAGGAAATTCTTACTCATGTTTCCTCTTTTCTCAGTCACAGGGGGGTCCTCAAACCCAGGTGGAGTGAGACATGAGTAAGCAGATGGGTCAGTAGAGGATGCCTCTCGTTCTTGGGATATGCCCAAGATTCTAACCCACTTAAAAAACACTCACCACACCGCAGGTACATTCTGTGGGTTCTCCCTCTACCTTTTCTCCAGCTGTGAAGTCCTTTTCTCCAGCTGTGAAGGACTGCCGAGCTTGGCCACTGCCCTAGTGGGCTGCTTCAAAGAAGCACAGCCACGATGGGATTTCAAACTCTATTTTCCTAGAATCCAATGGAACACGCACTCTGGTTCTTTCACTTCTGCCTCGCAATACCCGAACCATGTGTCCCAGGGTCATTTTTTCTGGGACAGCTGGCATGGGACTGGGTTGAAAAGAAGAGCAAAAGAGAAAATGGAACTCGGAGAGGATTAGGGATAGTTCCCCTCTTCAGGAAAACCATCGGTCAGCATACTATATTTACCAAGTGCTCATCATGCAGCGGACATATTATTTTCAATTGCAAAATGGAGAATCTAGGTGGACAGTGGTTATTGGTGAGGCTGCATGTACAAGGGCCCAAGTGGAAGGCAAGAAGGCACTATTTTACAAAGGAGTTTGAGTGAAAAGCTGAAATTGATTTTAAAGTATAAGAAGAGATAGGCTCAGAAAAAGTTGTACTCTCCCAAAATCAGGGGAGAAGTGAGCTCTCACAGAGTATAATATGTTCCCTGCTACACAGACATCTGGAAAAATTCCTGAGTGTTTGTCTACCTACAATTAAAACTGTCACTATTTCAGGGCCAGTTTACTTGATTTTTGAATATTGTTGCTATGGTGATCTTCTCAACTATCTAAGAAGTAAAAGAGAAAAATTTCACAGAACATGGACGGAAATTTTCAAGGAACACAATTTCAGTTTTTACCCCACTTTCCAGTCACATCCAAATTCCAGGTAAGAGAATAGGTCAAGGTTTCCTGGTTATGCATTCTAGGACCCATACAAAGTAGGATGGTTAAACACCTCCCCCTCCTCCCCCCCCAACACACACACACACACACACACACACACACACACACACTCAACTGGCTTCTACAGGCTACACTCCAGCATTGTGGAGTCTGTGGGTCCTAAAGACCTAGAAAAGTCACTTATCTTTGATAGAGTTTCCCTGTTGATTTGAAACAATGGAGCCTTTCCTTCATTGCAGCCACTGTAGCTGAGCCAGTCTCTGTCCACCTGTGCCTAAATCACACCTGATACACATATTTAGTTTTGGGAACGGTGAGTTATTCAATCCTCCCTGCCCTCTGGTTAACATGTAAGTATTGGTAAAAGAATGAACACATTTCCAAAGTCCTGGACATGTTCGAAGAGGTCCCGGGAGTATTGCACAAAAGAGCTCTAACCTCATAAATTGGATTTAAAAAAATAGGCTAGATCCATTGACATAATGTGATGGGGACAGAGTAAAGCTGTGGTACATTTGTCTCGGTGCTCTGCGTTGTGCATTCCCCCGTCCGTGGGAATCCTGACTCTCAGCACTGGCACATGGACGCGGGCTGCAGAAGTGCGGTGGATGCTTGCCCTTATCCTTGGAAATGTCTTGCTGATTGCTTGAACACCGTAGCTCTATAACACCGTTCTCTGAATGAATTCACAGGCATTCTGATGGAATCATTCCTGGATCCACAGTGCTTTCCTACTTCCCTGCGTATGTGAAAGCTCTCCGTTATCAGAAAGGCACATTTGTCAGAGGCTTTTAACATTACTGGGGGACTTTTGGAGGGTGCTTTTGAGATCAAGCTTTGTTTTCTTAGCAGATGTTTCAGTGCAGGCCTTTGGCTTTCTAAGGTCTGAGACAGACCCAGCGTCAAAAGCTGTAAGGCCCCACGGAGATCCCCATGTACGTCTTTGTGCAGCTGCCCTTTACCGATTTATACCTGTCACACTAGTCCTCCCTTTTATACTCACTTCTCAGCTCATATTCTAAAACTGAGACAATTCTCATGTCATCCGCATTCTAGAACAGAGTCTGTCCTACTGAGTCAGGTGTGTGTGACCAGCAGTCCCTGGTTAGTAACAACCAAGGCTGGTGAACTCAGTGCCTTTGATTCAGTCTGTCACTAGGCTATGAAATGCACTGAAACAGTTACTTTTGGAATATCCGTGGCCTGAATACTTTAAGCCATTTTCAAAGATATGGAAACTATAAGTTGGGGTAAACTTGTATGCTGGAATAAATTGAATCATTGTCTGTATATAATACATAGAAAGTTCCTCAGTGAAGAGTTCTATATACCATAAAAGAGATCTGCATTATTACTATTTATTAATTTCACAAGAGAAGGAAACAAGCTTTGCAAAGGTCACCTGGGAAAAAGGAGGATGGTAGAAAATGTAACGTTCCCTGAAGAAGATCTGTGTCACTTGAGCTGTCACAGGGAGGGGGAGCCAAGTTTAAAAACAGAAGACTGAGGTGCAGGTGCACTCTTTACTAGCTCCATGAAATCAGCAAGTCATCTTCATCTCACCAAGGTTAAGTTTTTTTGGTTAATCCTCACCTGAGGATACTTTTTCCAATGCTTTTCAGAGAGAGTGGGTGGGAGGGAGGGAAAAAGGAAAGAGAGGGAGGGGAGTTGGAAGGAGAGGTGGGGGTGGGGGAGGTGGGGAGGTGAGAGAGACACATTGACTGGTTGCCTCCTGCACATGACCCTACTGGGAATCAAACCCACGACCCTTCAGTACGTGGCCCAATGCTCTACACACTGAGCAACACCAGCAAGGGAAAACCTAAGTTTTCTTTTATAAAATGTGACTTTGACGCCAGCTTATAGACTTGTGGTAAGGATTGAGTGAAGTCATCTTTGAACTGTGACTCCATACAGATACCAAACCCACTCTTCCCCCAGTTAGACCGGTTCAATTACACAGATGTTTTTAATTCCATAAAAAGTGGACAAGTTGATGCTGTGCCTTTAATTTAAAAGCCCATTTATAATTGGAATTAATTTTTTTGATGAATTGTATTTTTGAAAAATGTCTACTCGGAAGAACATAAATAATGAAATAACAATTTTTTTAAATAGTATGCCTGGTTCACAAGAAGTTCACATACACCAGGACACAGACCATATCTCAGGGTTCAATGGGAATTCCTTTCAACCCAAAGGTAATATTTTATTCTGATTAGTAGCACTTAAAAATAGAAATGGATAAATGAGTTCCGTTATCTTTTTTAAAAAAATGTGTAGATGCAAAAGCATATTTTACATTACTACTGTTATCTATAGGCTCTATGAATGTATATTTGCTTTAAAAGTAGTTAAAAAACAGTTTATGTATTGTGAATTTTATGTCAATATTTAACTAATAAACACTGGGGCTATTTATTTGGTCAGATTATTCTTCTTAAAGTCATAAATTAATTAGAGTCATGCCATTACCTGGTAAGTGGAAAAGATGCTGAGTTCTGGAGTCAGACAGAGTTGGGTTAATCTCTGGTTCTTTTATTTTCTGGCTGGATGACTTTGGATAATTTATTTAACCATCCAAGTCACAATTTTCTCATTTGTAAAATGGGCCAAATGATACTTCCCTCATCAGACTATTAAAAGGATCAAATGGAAAACATTAAGTATACAATATGGCTCCTAAAATGGGCTGCCTTGCTAGTCTTGGCACCTCACCTAACTGTGGCCTTAATAACCTCCTCATAGAGATTTACTAAGGCAACTTCTTAGAGTTTTGGCAAAAATGAGGACCAGTTCTATTTTACAGATGAAGTTGAATATGAAAACCAAAAAAGGTTGGAGGAAGAAGAGGACCTGAATGTACTTACATTTGAAGATCTTCTTTGTTTTGCTTATCAAGTTGCCAAAGGAATGGAATTTCTGGAATTTAAGTCGGTAAGCTTGATAAAGAAGAAATTAACAACAACAAAAGATAATTTTGAAAAAGATGTACTTTTTTTTCTTGTTTAACTTTTATCCCTTAGTCTTGTCACCTGTTGGAATCATCTAGAATGTTATCTGGCTCTAGGCTAATCTATATGTAAAAGGCTAATATGCTAAATGTCCCTCCCACCATCCGACCAGTCGCTATGATGTGCACTGACCATCAGGGGGCAGACACTCAATGCAGAAGCTGCCATGACGCACATTTGCCATTTACAGAGAAACGGCACCGCAGACCTGGTGCTGACAAAGCAACACTTGGCTTCCCCCAAGTGGGGCACAGGCCCCGCCACTACCCCAGAGCGACAGCCCACCAAATCACAGCCAACGCTGCCGAGACCCCATGGCGCAAAATGTGTCCCACAGCCCAGCCCAGCCCATAAATGGTGGCTGGGGGCATTGGATAATGATATCACATACCAATACCCAGCTTCCTCTCCCTAGCTACTAACCTCCTTGCAGTTTCTTCTGCCCAGTTTCTTCTATAACTTGCTTTATAGCCAGGTGGAAACATTTACACTTTAACCAAATGTCTGTGAAGCGTTTTCCCATGCCTCATCTCATTTGATCCTCACAGAAATCCTGGAGTAGGTGTATAGGAGACTTGGTGGAATCCTATTTTCTTTTCCTTAGCCAGAAAACGGAGATTTAGAAAGCTTAGAAACTTGACCTAACTCAAAAGAAGTAAGAAATGGTGGACCTTGAAAATGACTTCAGGTTTTCTCACTGTGCAGAATATAGTCAAACACTGCTGCAGTTAAATATTTTACCCTTTGTTCTCCTTGCATGATCTACAATAATAATCTGCTTCATGTTGATATTTACTGTTGTGTTGCTGACAGTTCCCTGAAAGAGAAGCTGGGGTGCTTCACTGGGCTGGAAAAAGTTTAGCTACATTAGAAAGCAGGTCTAATTAAGCAAGTTTATTCTATATCTATAAAAGGCTAAGTTGACTCATGCATGCGCGATACATATATCGCTGGCGCCAATTGTATATGTGTGTTTCCATTTGTCATTGTTGATCATGAATTTGGTTGACACTTCTATTATAGAGAAAGGGTGAATAGCAATATTAAAATATTTCTTCTAATTACTTTCCTTTCAATGTGCACGAATTTGTGCACCAGGCCACTAGTTACAGTATAAAGGCTCAGGAGCCCTTCTTAGATAATGGTTATTATAACTCTCCCAGGCTACCCTGACATGTCCAGACAGGAAGTCCTCAGGAATCCCTCCTCACAACAATGTGTAGCAGTGTTGGTCCTTCCTTACACACTTCAGGTTGTCAGGCCATGCCTTGCACATGGGCACTTGACCCAGGGGGTAAGAGGCTCAAACACAGAGTTCCCTGCTCTCTAAGCCAGCCATCCTGGGTGCCTTCGTCCATTTCACAGCATCCTGCTATGGGCAGCAGCCCTGTGCCTACTACCTCCTTCGCTACTAATCCATGATCCTTCAGGGCTATGAGGAGAAGGCCCTGGAGCCTGCCTCCAACCATGGCCTCTACCTCAATTTTGTGATCTTTCTGTAACTGCCTTTCAGGCCTGCTGTTCCCTGACATCTCAAGTGTCTCCTGCCTACAAGCAGATTTAAGCCATTTCTCCAGCTACTTTCTGTCCTCATTTGCTTGCCTTTCATTATCTTCTCTTTATTTCCCAAACTTTTTCCCTCTTTTTTCTTTGAGTCTTTTATTTTCTTCCTCCCTCTCTTCTCCACTTTCTTCCCTTTGACTCCTTTCTCCTCTTTCTCCCTGAGTTTGGAGAGAATAATTTCAACTATATTTTTCCTTTAAAAAAAAAGTAGTCTCTAATACAATGTTACATGTCAGTTACATCTCAATTTTTTAAAAGAGTAACATGAAATAAACCAATAGCTTGGGAGACTAGAAAAAATTCTATTCATAATAGCAACTAAACCTATAAAACATCTTAACACATTTCGTACCACATAGAAATCTCTAAGACATATGCCAGAGGCTGCACGTTTTTGGGCAAACTGCACGTTATTTAAATCATCATAACTACAGATCATAATGCACTTAAGGTGTTGTTTTTCAATAATTATAACATTTTTATTTACAAAAACAATTAAACAATTAAAATTCCTAGTACCTTTTTAATGTATGGTACTGCATAAAACATTTTCCTCTATGAAGAGGGACCAAACAAAATTTACATAAGTATCTAGATTCGCTCCTTTTTCCATGGGCGGCACAAACTCTGCAGGCTCTCGTAGGAAATTTTTTCTTTCCACTCGCTGGAATACATGTAGGTTCATGCTGCTTCATATCACCTGACAATCTTTTGGGTGGATCTTTACAAGGTGCTCTCCTTGCACCCCCAGGGGAAGGGCTGGACAGATTTGTCTCTGGTTCTGGAGAGCCTTCATTATTGTCATCCGTTATCCAGTCTCTCGCCACCGATAGCAGAAACTGTTTATACTTCATTTTTGCTTGTGGATTGAGGATGTTGTACACTCTAAATGAATTGAAAAGTCCACAGTTTATAAGGTACAGCACTACTTTTTTTGTCCATTTCATCGTTTTCCTTAGAATGGAACAACACGAAAGGAAGTGTATCAGTTTTGTTGGTTTCTTTCCTTTTTCTGAGAGAGGGCATTTCTAAAAGCTCCAGGAACTTGAAGACAAAGACTATTCGAATGACCAAAATACAATGTAACTGCAATGCTTTATGGGTTCATGCAATTATATAGTTTTTCGTAGATTGACCTGCACGGTTTCCACCAATGAGATCGCTTCATTAGATGTGGACAAGACAGTGTGTTGACATCTAAGGTCCATAACAGATGGCGCGTGAAAAACGAGAAAACTCATGAGCGGTCCTTAACAGATGGCGCGCGAAACACGAGAAAGCTCGTGAGCTTTACGAAAGGTGTTAAGATAAACATAAGAAACATCCTATGCAATAAAAACCTAATATGCTAAGTGTCCGGTCCACGGTTTGGCCATTTCAACCAATCAAAGCATAATATGCTAATAATATGCTAAGGCTACTCAACCGCTTGCTATGACATGCACTGACCACCAGGGGGCAGACAGTTGACTGGTCAACCAGTCACTATGACATGCACTGACCACCAGGGGGCAGACAGTCCACCAGTTGACCAGTCACTATGATGTGCAATGACCACCAGAGGGCAGACGCTCCAACTGGTAGGTTAGCTTGCTGCTGGGCTCTGGCCAATCAGGACCCAATGAGATGGGCCGGACATGCCCTGGAGTCCTCCCGCAGTTCCTCCCCAGCTGGCCAACCTCTCACATTTCTCCCCGGCCCTGATCGTGCACTGGAGGGGTTCCTCGGCCTGGCCTGTGCCCTCTCACAATCCAGGACCCCTCGGGATTTGGAGAGCCGGTTTCAGCCCAATTCCACAGAGGGAGCACTGCTCATCCAGAAGCCAGGCTCACGGTTGGCAAGCGCACCAGTGGTGGCCAGAGCCTCTCTTGCCTCCGTGGCAGTCGGACATCCCCCTAGGGCTCCTGGACTGCAAGAGGGTGCAGGCGGGCTGAGGGACCCCTCCAAGTGCATGAATGTTGTGCACCAGGCCTCTAGTCTTTATATGAAAGAAACCTGTGAAACTGTACTAAAGGTCAACAAACAAACTCCAGATAAATTAGTTCTGCTTTATTCATAGGAGACAATTAATGTTTAAAGGGAAAGTCAATTTTCTCCAAATTAATCTGTATATAGGGGTGAGCAAAAGTTGATTTACAGTTCATATGCGAAGCGACATGCAGGTTATGATGATTACAATAGCCTCATTAACTATGAGTTATAAGTACTCACAACTGTAGACCTACTTTTGCCCACCCTGTATTTAGCACAACCTCAATTAGAAGTGCAAGGATTTTTCCTCCCTCAGGGATATTAAAAGTACTTATTACCTTCTTTGCTCTTCTTTTCCAAATTTGGACATCCTTGCTCAATAGTTTTTAAAAATTACTTCCGCATCGTATTTTCTTGCCCTTCATCTCTGAGGTACATTCTTCTCTTCATCTTCCTTCCTGCTGTTGGATTCCCTTTGTCCGAGTTTCGCTATCTGTGTAGTTCACCTGCACGTCAACAGCTTTCACAGGGATCTTTGTAGATGTTGGAGGGTTATCCACCTGGATCGTCTGGCCCGGTTGGCTGTCTGTAATTAAGTAAATACTCAAACTGCTCACAACTGGAAGTCAAGGAGCACTGCTTTTCCCCTCTGGGCTTGTAGTAAGAATGTTTTGAAGAATATTCAGTATCTTAGGCCCTCTTCCCTCATTTTCTGTGAAGCTGGATAGAGTATTCTTGGATTCAGTCCTTTGCTTTGCATCACTTTGTAAATTTCCGTCCATTCTTTTCTGGCCTGATGTGTTTCTGTTGAGAAATCATTTGATAGTCTAATGGGAGATCCCTTGTATGTAACTTTCCGTCTCTCTCTTGCAGCCTTTAATATTCTCTCTTTGTCCTGAACACTTGCCATGGTAATTATGATGTGTCTTGGTGTGGGTCTTTTCGGGTTCACCTTGTTTGGGACTCTCTGTGCTTGTGTGACTTTCTTCTTCCCCACCTCAGGGAAGTTTTCTGATATTATTTCTTCGAATAGGTTTTCTAATCCTTGTTCCTCTTTCTGTTGTTCTGGCACCCCTATTATTCGTATGTTGTTTCGCTTCATGTTGTCCCAAAGCTCCCTTAGGCTCTCCTCCTGTCTTTTAATTTTTTTCTCCAATTGCAGTACAGTTTGGGTGTGTTTTGCTTCTTTGTCTTCTAATTCACTAATTCGGTCCTCCGCTTCTCCTAGTCTACTGTTGATGCTTTCAATGGTGTTTTTTATTGCAGCTATATCGCTCTTCATTTCTTGTTGGGTCTTACATAAGTTACTGATTTTTTCATCTGTTTCTTCTTGCTTCTTGCATAAGTAGTTGATTTTTTCATCTGTTTCTTCTTGCTTCTTGCATAAGCTGTTGATTTTTTCATCTGTTTCTTCTTGCTTCTTGAATAAGTTGTTGACTTTTTCCTTCGTCCGGTGTATGCACTCTAGGACCCTTATTCTGAATTATTTTTCTGTCATGTTGCATGCCTCTGTATCACTTAGCTGCTTTTCTGGCGAGTCCTCCTTTTCTTTCCTTTGGGGGTTTCTTTGCCTACCCATGTTTGATCTCACTGACATATCTGGATGTTGAGTCGTTCAGTGGCTGCTCCCTGGGTGGCAGGGGCTCCTTGGGTTGTGGTTGCTGCTCGGACGGTTGTGGTAGCAGCTGCTTCCCAGTTGGCAGCAGCTCCTCTGGTGGGTGCTGTTCACAGCTGTGGTGGCTCTTCTGGCTGCTAGGGGAGGCTTCACGTACAGCTGCTGTTCCTCAGACAGAGGGTGTGGTGATCAGGAGGCTGCGGTGATCAGGGGGCTGCTGTTGCTTGGATCTGCGGTCTGGGAAACGCTCCTCTCTTACCAGCACTGTATGATCTGGGAAACGCTCCTCTCTTATGGGCACTGCATGGTCTGGTCAGTTCCTCAGGATACCCCCTTTAGTCTCAGTTTTCCGCAATCACAAAATCCAAATCTCAAATCTCCCGGCGCCCGCAAACCCGCGGAACTCCTTTCCCCGGTCAGGGGCTGTGTCTGTCCCAAGAGACGCGGCTGCCTGCCATGCGGTCTCCCTCCGACCCTCTGGGCTCAGGTCTGGCAAACTTTCCTGCCCAGATCCCTGGTTTTTTACCTTTCCAGGGGAGCTCTGCCCTTCCCGGCTGCAAACCGTCTCACCAGCTGAGTAAATTCGCCAATTCGGGGTGGGTGTTATTAGTTTCAGCTGCTTACTCTGTTTGCTCTGGGACAAGACCTGGGACACATCTGCCTATATCGCCGCCATCTTGCTTCTCCCCTCTTCCCTCATTTTCCCTGTAGGCCTTCCCCTGAACTACTCCAGTCTCTGTGACGCCCTCAAACATTGCTTGAGCACTGGCTAGTGCTAAGCACTCTGCTAAGTGCTGAGATACAATCAGACTCTGCTAAGTGCTGAGATACAATCAGAGCTCATCATTGTTAGGGGTGAAAGAGACCAGGAGTCAGGCAAATCTGGGAACCCAGGGCAGGGACAGGCACAGTCAGGCCTGGGGGAGGGGAGGCGGTGCAGAAAAGCCTTTCTGAATGAAGACCAGCAGGGAACATCGGACGAGGTCAGAATATGGAATCAGAGGGAGTTTGTTGAGAAAGATTGTGGGATCAGAGGGAGTTTGTTGAGAAAGATTGTGGGTTTAAACATGTTGAATGTGAGATTCTTTGGGCAACAAAGTAGACACTTGGCTTTGGAACTAGAGATCTGGGGGCTGGTGGTTGCATCCCTGGGTTTGGATGAAGTGGCTCAGGGGAGGATGTGGAACCACCAGAGCAGTGGGAAGGAAACAGGGGTGAGTGACCTGCAGAGCTCACAGAAGGAAAGCCCCGGAGGAGGGCCGGACAGCAGTACCACATTCCTGGGGAGGTCAGATCAACTCTCCGCTGGATTGGCGCTGTGCAGGTCGTCTCTGGGTTTAGCCAGAGCAGCCTGGGAAGACCACTGGGAGGTGGGAGGTGGGCTGCAGGGGTTTGGTGGGGAAGTGGGTGAAATGTAAATGGAGCCTGCAAGTGGACAGCACTCCCAGAAAACTGGGTAGGAAGGAAGGAGAGCTACAGGAATTTGAGTCTTTATGGCGTTTGCTTTTATTTTTTAAGTATTGAAGACAGACCTTTGGACCTTTGCTACTAGTGCCCTGTTCCTTTAAAATTTTCCTTCTTAATTTTCTTGACAAACCATTTGGATTAAAGTTATATCATATTTTAATTCAGGGATTTTTTTTTCTAATTCCACTACAGTCAACCTTCCCAAGCTTATTTTTAGTATTCTTTTCTGAATGTTTTCTTTGAGGTTACTCCATTTTATTGCCAAAGCTATTTCCAGTCAGAAAAGTGATTGTTTCTCCATCACTGCAATAAGAGTGCTGGAAGACAGCTCTGAAAATCCCTTTGGGAGTTCAGCAGAGGGCTGCGTTGTGTCTCTTATTTATAGCAAGATACGACATCGACTACGTTTGATCTCCTTTCTAAGAACCCATCCCCTTTGGCCTCTGAGAATGTTCCATAAGCAGCACAATGTCTGCAGCCACAGTAGCTGGAGAATCAGGCCCTGGGTTCACCAGCTGACTTGATTACACTTCATGGTGACTGCTCATGACCCAGCAAAGATAAGACACCGCGTGAACTATGCATGCTTTCATCTGTAACTCCTGCTGAACTCAAAGCCAGAAGAAAGGTTGCCGCTGTGAGACTGCACCATGGCAAATAACTCCCATGTCATTCCTTACAGTGTGTCCACAGAGATCTGGCAGCCAGGAATGTGCTGGTGACCCGTGGGAAAGTGGTGAAGATATGCGATTTCGGATTGGCTCGAGATATTATGAGTGATTCCAACTATGTTATCAGGGGCAACGTGAGACTGCTGTTTCTTACACGTTTTTCTTCCATTATTTGTGTTTTGTCATTGTCATGGTGAACATGTACACTCACTGCAGTGTTGATTAATATCCCAATGTGTCCTTAGAGCAGTTTGCTTTCTTATGTTGAACAAATTTTCTGCAGCTTCAGGGAATATTTCATCTGTAATAAAGTTGGAGCAAAACAGCAACACATCTATCCCGGGGCTTGTCAGAATAGGTCAGTTAGGGACCTTTGAGTGCAAGCCACACTGAACACAAGTCTCATTACTTGCATTTATTTCAGTTCCCTTAACTATAAAGTGACTGTTGAGTTATGTTTTCAATGATGGGAATAACTAATAGTTACAATAAAGTACTTAATGTAAATCAAATATTAAATATAAATTTCTATAAGGCACAATATGTAAATTAAATATTAGTTAATGAATACTTTTCATCCTATTACTATTACGCAGGCAAACCTAGAATATGACTAAATCTACTTGTTTAAAAAACTGAGGATAGGTGTATTATTTATAAGAAAAGTATTAGAAATATTAGATGATAACATTGAGTAGTTGAAAGAGTATGATTGTTAGGAATTAACACCTGGATTCAAGCCCCTGTTCTTCTTCGCTGGGGCTCTTCATTTTTGGGGTTTCTAGCTGCTTTATTGCCCCTCCTTGTAAAATAGTAACAAATGCCGGTATCATGCTTACTGTGTGCTAAGTGCTGTTCTGGGGGCTTTACATATATTAATTCAGTTAGGTCAAAAGTACCCATTTGTGGGTGAGGAAACTGTACCACAGACACATAACTAGCCCGTGATTACACAGCCCAAAGATCAGAGTGTGAAGGGTCTGAGCCTGAGTCTCTGTATAACCAGGATGGATGGTGCAGTGTTTCCCATGGGGAATACACACTGATCTCAGCATCGTTGTGGGAATGAACCAGTAAAATCCTCATGAAAGCTCCTGTCCAGGGTAAACATCCAATAAACGCTAAAAATCAAAGTCAACTATCTTTCCACTAGACTCAAATGATCACCTGAGCTGATGTTAGATCTGTGCCTCATTGTAGCTGAAGTCACAAATCTGATGAATGCTCACCTACGGCTTACATTTCTTCTGTAGCACAAAATGGCTGGTCCATTTTAAATCCACTCTGAATGAGTTTATAGAAGTTTCTACCCTACTAGTTGGTGGTCTCTTCTTTTTTTAAAAATATATTTTATTGATTTTTTATGGAGAGGAAGGGAGAGGAATAGAGAGTTAGAAACATCGATGAGAGAGACATGGATCAGCCGCCTCCCGCACACCCCCCACTGGGGATGTGCCCGCAAGCAAGGCACATGCCCTTGACCAGAATCAAACCTGGGACCCCTCGGTCCACAGGCTGACGCTCTATCCACTGAGCCAAACCAGTCAGGGCTTTGTGGTCTCTTCTGTAAGAAGCTGAAACACATTTGCAACTACAACTAATTCATTCAGTTGATCAAATTAGCCAGACTAGCCTGCTTGGTTCTATCAGTTCATCAATTTGTGGAGGATTTAAGATAGGGTTTCTATCTTGAGTTTTGATTTTACTTAACAGAATAAATGCACCGCGAAGGGTTCCCTAACCCATGAAGAAAAACTATTACACAATGCTCTTCGTCCCCGTCTTGATTCTAATCTGAGGCGGTGCTCATTTAAAACCTCTGTTTCATGCTACTGGAAATTATTAAAACCACAGAAGCCAGCCTGCTATCATTTCTGGAAGTGATGACATATGCTTCCTTCACCACATTCTTGTGGAGAGCATTTTCACTGAAATTCTTCCAAGAAATGCTTTAACAAAATAATGCACTGATTCATTAGTATCCATTCACCTCCAGGGAACTGACTAGCTACCCCTTAATGCAGTGGTTCTCAACCTTCCTAATACCTCGACCCTTGAATACAGTTCCTCATGTTGTGGTGACCCCCAATTTCATTGTTACAAATTGAACATAATTAAAGCATAGTAATTAATCACACAAAAAAATGTAATTATATATGTGTTTTCCGATGGTCTTAGGCGACCCCTGTGAAAGGGTCGTTCGACCCCCAAAGGGGTCGTGATCCACAAGTTGAGAACCACTGCCTTAATGGAAAGTATCTACTGTTAAGCTTTTCAATTGCAAGCACATGTTTTTGTTCAAGATAAGTTTTAAAGAAATACAGGCAGGGTTTTTCTTAAGGCTACTATGTTAGAATGCTAATTTGAAATGAAACACTGCCCATGAGGAATATGATTTTCTCAATAAAGCATTTAGAGTGGCCTTAGGAAGATCAAATTTTCTTCTAGCTCACAGGAGACAAGAAGTATTTGTCCATGGAAAACTCACCATTGATCTCTTGGATTTTATACAGGCCCGCCTGCCTGTGAAGTGGATGGCTCCTGAAAGCTTGTTTGAAGGGATCTACACAATTAAGAGTGATGTCTGGTCATACGGAATATTACTCTGGGAGATATTCTCGCTTGGTAAGTTTTGCAGTTTGCTGCCCTCTCTGGGCACTGGGCTTCTGGACAGTCTGTCTTTCTGTGCCCTCCTCAGCTCCTAAGTCAAAGAGTGGATGAAATGCCACCTGGAACGCACCCAGAGCTCCCAAGTCTTACTTCTGTTGCAGCACGTGCCACTTGATGTTTTATTTACTGGGGTTAATAGTTCTGTCTTCAGCCCATTACCTGCTTGACAGCTGGAACTGTGACTTGGCCCAGTAGCAGCCCAGCACAATTCAGCGTCTGGCTCATGGGAGCTCTCCATACATTTGTTAATTGAATGAATGAATAAAGAAATGAAGAATGAGCCCTAGCTGGTTTGGCTCAATGGATAGAGCGTCAGCCCATGGACTGAAGGGTCATGGGTTTGATTCCCATCAACAACGCATACCCTGGTTGCAGGGGTCCGTACAGGAGGCAACTGATCAATGTGTTGCTCTCACATGGATGTTTCTGTCTCTCCCCCTCCCTTCCATTCTCTCTAAAAAATCAATGGAAAAATATCCTCGGGTGAGGATTAACAACAAGAAAGAAAGAAAGAAAGAAAGAGAGAGAGAGAGAGAGAGAGAGAGAGAGAGAGAGAGAGGAGAGAGAGAAAAGAAAAGAAAAGAGAAGAGAAAAGAGAAGAGAAGAGAAGAGAAGAGAAGAGAAGAGAGGAGAGAAGAGAAGAGAAGAGAAGAGAAGAGAAGAGAAGAGAAGAGAAGAGAAG